TTCACGGATTGAGGGCGGGACGCTTTCGAAATGTGGTTATCGTTTTGGTCGTTTTCCAAAAAACTGAAAGATTAAAGAGCTTCACGGATTGAGGGCGGGTCGTTTTCAACATGTGGTTCTCGCTTTAGCGTCGCGCATATTCGTTACAAAAATTACAAGAACTTGAAGGTTTGAGGGCGGCTCCTTTTCAAAATGCGGTTCTCGCTTTAGCGCCGCGCACATTCTGTTAACAAAAACGTAATGGTTTCACGGATTCCAGTGGTCAACGTACCAGAAGTGTGTGTTTTGCAACGGTTCAGGAATATGAGGGCGCAACAGTTACGTTGATTCGCAATGTTGAAGTCCCAGGAATGGCGTTCTGGCGCGATTCAGGATCCTCAAGACGCAACAGTTAGGTTGATCCGTGGCGTTGGAGTCACGAGAGTGCAGTGGAGGCCCATGCCAAGAAACACTCTGCTTGCCTCCAGGGTGCCCTGGGTTTCTTGGGTTTCGATTGTTGTGCGAAGAAAAGCGGGACGCCCCCACACCATAAATACAGGGACGCCCTGGAGTCTCAGGGTTGGGTCATTTGTGGAAGAGTTCTTGTGAAGTGGCCTCCAGTGTAATGGTTTGGCATTATTCAGGGTCTTCAAACGGTTGTCTTTCCAACGAGGCAGTGCCCGCAGTGGAAATCAATCCTTGTATGGGGGGGCAGATGGCGAGGGATCTTGGAGGGAGGGTTTATTCCAACTTCGGTGATGATTCTTGGAGTTACACTGGTCCTCCTCCTCCCCTTCGTCGCCCGGCGCCGGCTGGCGGCGACGGCGACTGTGGCGGCGGCGACGCGATGCAGCGAGGGCAGCAGGCCGCCGCGATCCGCGCTCGCGCCGAGCCGAGCCGATCGGGAGGCCTACGGTCGGGAATCTTGGCTTGGTGTGTCGCTTCGCTGGCTTGGGCCCACCACGCTTCGGCGCGACCCGCTATCCACGTCCCCATTCCCGCGTCAACGGCCCGAGCTGTTCCCAATCTCCCGCCCCACGGAGCGGAGCGACACGCTGCCGGCTTGCAGGGCACAGCGTGCCGCCGGGGCCGCCGCCGCGACACGGTAAGCAGGAGTTCCTGACCATAAATGGTTGCGACGAGTAAAAGAGCTCGGAAGATGAGTGGGCACAGTGCCTTCTGCAGTGGACACCGTCCAAACCGTATCACCCACGACGCCTCGGCGGACAGAGAAAAAGGGTGGCTAGATTGGATTGTGTCGAGTGCTGCATGACCTGAGGCTCTGGGGCCGAGGCCTCGCCCGCGCCGCCCTGTTCAGGGCCAGATCACCGGATCCGATGGCAGCGCGCTCCACGAGAATGGATTTCGCAGTCAGTGGGCCCATCCGTTGTAAGGAGCAGCGCCAGGACAATCAGTGCACAGAGGCAGCCCCTTGCCCATAACGTCTCCAGTCTAGGCATCCCGGATCCTGCTCGCTTCCAGGCTGTGCCTTGCAGGAGGAGGAGGAGGAGGACGACGACGACGACAGTGAGGAGCGAGGTGGAAGAGGGAGGGGCGATGAGGGAGGGAGCGAGCAGCGAGGAGCGAGGAGGGGGGAGGAGGAGGAGGAGGAGGAGGAGGAGGAGGAGGAGGAGGAGCGAGGAGCGAGGAGGGAGCGAGGAGGGAGCGAGGAGGGAGGAGGAGGGGCAGGGAGGGGCGAGGAGGAGGAGGGGGAGGAAGGGGCGAGGACGAGGAGGAGGAGGAGGAGGAGGAGCGGCGAGGAGGAGCGAGCAGGGTGAGGGGGGAGGGCCAGGCTTTACGAAATGGCCCTGGCCCTGGCAGCAGCTGGCGTGGATCCTAAGACATTAACCACACAGCCCGGGGGTCCCCCTGTGTGATGGGGTTGGGGGCCCACTCGGGTGCCCCTGGACCGAGGAAGGGAGGGAGGGAGCGAGGGAGGGGAGGGGAGGGGAGGCAACCTAGGAGCGCTCGCGTCATATCTGACGTTTTACTCCTTCTCCTATTGTTTACCATGGCATAGATCTTTTCTCCATTCGCACAATCGGATGTCGTAGTATTGCAGAGCATCACATGGCATAGCATGATGTTGAAGATCAATGCGTAGCATGACATAGCATGGCGTGGCGACGCCCCAAAGTCGTGGGGGGCTTCTCCGGCCCAAAAAATCAACGGATCTACACCGAATGTCGAATCATTTCCGATGATCTCTTCGGGAGGTCATTGTTTTATATATCGGGGCCTTTTGGGAAGGACCGAAACCACGCCTTGGCATGGCACTGGAAGTAATGACGCCAGCGCTGCAGCGGGAGCATGATTCGGAACGAGCGGAAATGAGGCCAGCGCTGCAGCGGGAGCACGATTTTTAACGAGCGGTGGCGCGAAAATGAAGCCAGCGCCTCAGCGAGAGCAGTATTCTTTATAATAAAACTGAAAATCGTTTCCCGGGAAAGCTGTGTGCAGAAAACCGGTACGCGGAGGGGGGGCCGGCCATTCATAGTGTGTAATTGTATAGGGGAGGGGAGGGGAAGGGAAGGGAGGGGAAGACAAGGGAAGGGGAGGGGAGGGGAGGGAAGGGGAGGGGAGGGGAGGAGGAGGAGGCGGAGGAGGAGGAGGAGGAGGAGGAGGAGGGAGGCGCCGGAAGCGAAGGAGGAGGAAGGAGGAGGAGGAGGAAGAGGAGGCGGAGGAGGAGGATGAAGCGGAGATGATGCGAAGGGCATTCAGGGAGGAGGAGGGGGAGGGAGGGGCGAGGAGGGGAGGGGAGGAGGAGGAGGAGGAGCAAGAGGCAAGAGCAAGAGCAAGAGCAAGAGCATGAAGAGCAAGAGCAAAGAGCAAGAGAGCAAGAGCAAAGACAAGAGCAAGAGCCACGATCACGATCAAGAGCAGAGCAAGAGGAGGAGGAGGAGGAGGAGGAGAGGAGGAGGCGGAAGGGCGGGAGGAGGAGAGGAGAGGAGGAGGAGGAGGAGCTGGAGGAGGGGGATTGAGGAGGAGGAGGAGGAGAGGAGGAGGAGGAGAAGGAGGAGCAAGAGGAGGGAGTGGAGGAGGAGCAGGAGGAGGGAGGAGGAGGAGGAAAGAGGAGGAGGAGGGAGGCAGGAGGACGAGGAGCAGCAGGAGGAGCAAGAGGCGAAAGAGGAGCTGGAGGAGGAGGAGGAGGAAAGGAGGATGGAGGAGGAGGAGAGAGGAGGAGGCGTGGAGGAGGAGGAGGAGGAGGATGGGGAGGAGGAGCGGGAGAGGAGGAGAAGGCGGAGGAGGCAGGAGTAGAGAGGCGAGGAGGAGCGGAGGTTGAGAGGAGCAAGGAGGAGGGAGGAGGAGGAGGAGCAGCCAGAGAGCAGAGGAACTTGTGGAGGAGGAGGAGGAATGAGGAGGAGGAGGAGGAGGAGAGGAGGAGGGGGGCGGATGAGGAGGAGGAGGAGGAAGGAAGGAGGAGGAGGAGGAGGAGGAGGTGGAGGAGGAAGGAGGAGGAGGAGGGGGAGGAAGAGAAGGAGGAAGAGGAGGAGGAGGAGGCGGAGGAGGAGGAGGAGAAGGAGGTGGAGGAGGAGGAGGAGGAGGAGGAGGAGGGCGGCGGAGGGCGGAGTTGGAGACGGGGCACCCCTCGGCCCTCGGGGACCGAGGCAGGAGGACCCACGGCGACGATGGCGACGCCAACGAGGCCCCGTCGCCCCCCAGAGGCCATTCTGGCCCCCGGCCTCAGCGTCGGCCTCAGCCGCGCCCTGCGCGGTAGGCGCGCCCGCGCTGCAGGCGCGCGCGCTCCGCCTCTCCCCGCCGCCGCCGCCGCCGTCCCGCGTTCCTCTTTCGCCCCTGGCGACTTTACCAGCTTGCGCCCGCGGCGCGACGGGAGGTTTTTCTCAGTTTTCGGCCCCCTGGGGGCCCTCACCGCGCCCCGGGAGCGTCAAAAAACGACTCAGGGGAATGGGTCTCGACTCCGAGGACCCCGCGTTGAAAAAATCAGGACGTCGGATCTCTGGGTACCGCTGCCCTTCCCTCGTTTTCCCCTTGATTTGGGCCTCCTGGGAGGCCCTCGTCGCAACCGCTGGCTTCGCCTCGAGGCCCCAGTCAGGACGCACCCCGGGAGGAAAGGTCTGGGCAGCAGCGGTGTCGGTGCCTCGTGGTATCCCCACCACTGTTCGCGCGCGGTGCCCAGCCCGCACAGCCTGGGGCATCGCCCCCGTCGCGCACAGATGCTGCGGCCCGCTGGCTCAGGGCAGGTCGCTGTTTGGGTGTCGGCGAGGTCAGAGTCCAGTAGCGGCCACGTCGGCCTGCCAAGTCGGGGTGCGTCAATGTCTGCCCTCTGGCTGCTGTCGAGATGCTGGCACGCAGAGTGCGCTGGCGGTGCGAGTACAGCCAACCCGCATAGCAAGGATGAGGAAAATTCCCAAGGGTACCCTTGCATCATTGCCTCCTCGGTCCATCCTTCTCTACTTTCGTTGACCGCGCCCCGCTCGAAAAGCTTCGAAATGGGCGCCCAAGGCCCTTGCATCCTTATCGCGCGTCCTCATGATACGGGCCGACTGTAGGTGTTCATTCCGGGTCGGTGGGAGCATGATCGCCCGTGCTTGTTGGGAATTGCTAGCACCGACAGTGGCGACGTGTCGCAAGATAGAAGGTCCGGCGAAGCGCGCTATGACCCCGGAAGGGGGAGGAGCGTCCTTCTTTGATTGGCGCGAGAGAGGTTTCTGTCGCAAACGCGACCACAGCCCCCTGTATGGGGGCCGCGGTCAGGTTTAAAAAGTCGGACGGGCGGGTGGAAAATAGAATTCGGCTTGAGCCACAGGCTACAGCCGACGAGGAGGACGCGAAGAGGAGGGGATTCAATCCCGTCTGCGGGACACACAAGCTGTTCGAGCAAGCACGAACAGCGACAGAAGGTCCGGCGAAACGCGCTCTGAACCCAGAAGAGGGAGGAGCGTTCTTTTTTTGATTGGCGCGAGAGAGGATTTCGTCGCAAACGCGACCACGGCCCCTCACGCACACAGGAAGCCGTCTGTCGGTCCTCCCAACAAACACCATTCTAACTCAGTGAAAGCACACTGGCGCACGCACTGAGCACAAGCTGGGCTGACCAGTTTAAAAAAGGCAGGTGGAAGGAGGGTGCCTCCAAGATTGCCCCTGGACGGCCCAGAACGGCCCAAGAGGGGCCCAAGAGGGCCTGAAGAGGCTCCCAAGAGAGCCTTCGGAGTGCCGTAGGAGGACGCCCAGAGGGCCGAAGAGGGCCTCAAGATGGGCCAAGACGGCCTAAGAGGGCCCAAGAACAGCCCAAGAGGGCCCCAAGACACCCAAAAGGGCCCCCAGAGGACCCCCCCGGACGGCCCAATGACGGACGCAGTTTTGACGCCAAGGCTCCCAAGAGCATCAGGTGATTGGAAAGCCTTTTTTTTACACGAGTAGGTGACAAGAAAAGTGTTCAACGCTAAGGGTCCCAAGAGCGAGAAGTGGCGTAGAAAGCTCCGAACGCCAGGGCCCCCAACAGCGAACGGTAACGTAAACAGCTCTGAACACTAAGGCTCCCAAGCGCGAATGGTGACGTGAGCAGCTCTGAATGCCAAGGCTCCTAAGAGTGAATGGTGACGAACACAGCTCTTCACACTAGGACTCCCAAGAGCGAACAGTGATTTCAAAAGCTCTTGACGCCAAGGCTCCCAAGAGCGTGCCATGAGCCCTCTCGGGCAAGTTCCTGAAGCGTTCTTTCCGTTCCAGTGCTGGCCCAGGTTCTAACACACTCATTCCGTGCAAACACGGTGGCGGACGTTGTTCATCGCTAAAAATAGGAGCATACATCCTTTAGAAGTCGTCTCCAGCGAGAGACGAGTTTCGAATGGACATGCCTCAAAAGGTTTTAGACACATGTGCGCGGCCGCCACTCGGGAGCCACATGCTGACGGCAATTCGCCTTGAATCCGTGTTTCGGTTGGAAGCTTTCAAGACGGATGTGCGCGGCGCCAGGGCGGGAGTCACGTGTTGAAACCCATGTTCCCTCTATCCGCGTCCAGAACGGAGGATCGAGGAAGAATGCGCGCGGCGTTAAGGCCAGAGCCACATCTTAAAAACCAGCCGCGCTCCAACCAAGCAACGATTGGAAATGTCAAGCCCCACTATCAGAAATTGACATCAAGCCTTAGGCGAAACGCCCAGCCCACCCTGCTGAGACGGCTGGTTGTCGGACGACGATGCTTATCAACACTGAAGGGAGGGGCGAGGGAGGAGAGGGAGGGGGGGACGGCTGCGAATGCGGCGCTCACGACGACCACGACGGCCACGGCGTCGGCGCTGGCGCCTCCGCGAGGTGACCGCTCCAGCGGCGTCGGCACCAGTGCCATCGCGGCCGCGGCCCAGGCCCCGAGCGGAGAGGGCCCTCTGGCGCGTCGCCGTCGACGGGGACGACGACGACTCCGACGACGACGACGACGACGACGACGACGACGAGGACGAGGACGACGAGGACGAGGACGACGACGACGACAAGGACGAGGACAACGAGGACGAGGGCGAAGACGACAACGAGGACGACGACGACGACGATGACGACGACGACGACGACGAGGACGACGACGAGGACGACGACGAGGACGAGGACGACGAGGACGAGGGGGAGAACGACGACGACGACGACGACGATGACGGCGACGAGGACGACGACAACGACGACGACGACGACGACGACGACGACGACGACGACGACGACGACGACGACGACGACGGCGACGGCGACGGCGGCGGCGACCACGACGGCGGCGACGGCGGCGGCGACGACGGAGGCGGCGACGACGGCGGCGACGACACGGCGACGCCGACGCCTTGACGAGCGCACGACGGGCGGTATCGGCGGCCAGGGGGGCCGTTTTCCAGGGAGCCCGGGGACCCTGCGATCTTGGCGTTGTTGTTTTTTCACGACGGGCGTTTTCGCGTTGTTTCGGGCCTGGGGACCTTCACAGATTGATCCGGCTCGAAAGATGATGCAGGAAGATGGTGTCCAGGGATCTGGGCGTGACTTGTCGCGGTGTGGCTTTTTTTGCAGGCGTCGGATCGCAGGGCACCGCCAGAAGACGGCCCGCGGCGCACGACTTGACCCAGGGAGGGACGGGGCCAAGAGTTCCGCGGGTGGACATTCACGAGGAGGCTATGGGCAAAGCGAGGGAGGCAGGGAAGGCGTCCTTGTGTCCAACGCGTCCTTGTGTCCAACGCTAGTGCGGAACCGCGGGAATTCCCATTTCGGGCGCGCGGGCCGATGACAGTAACAAGTTTGCCGACGACCACCTCGGCATACAACACTCGGATTGCCAACACGAAGTGCCAGCCCCATAGGCGGAGTGGCCCGTGAGGGCCAATGACAGGCCAGCGGAGAGTCGAGCTCCGAAGGAATTGGACTGCCACCCTGGCTCCGAAAGGTGCTGGAAATTGGCACCTTTCTTTGCCCCCTGTCTATTTCCCCCTTGTTGCGGCAAGTTCGTGTCGTGTCGACACGGCGGCGCGGGCGCTCAAGGTTGAGCACCGCCATTGGCCCAGGGCTGGCCGACACGGAACAATCTGCGCTTCTGTTTTTGGAATGCCCGCAATCGTTCTTCAAGGTTGAACGATCCACGCGGTGTCAGAAACCAACGCCGAAGTCGTCACGGCACGAAGTTGCTGCGGCGTCCCGCCGAGCTTCAGGGACCCACGTCGAGCCAGAGCGGGCGGTGCCGTGGGGCCCGAGGGCCTGGGCTGGCAGGCCGTTCCGCGTTTTGGGAAGGAGCCAGCTCGCTGGGTCAGGATCATCTTCCTCTTCCTCCGTAGCCATTTGGGCTCAAGATGTTCAAGTCAATTCCCTTGGGGACACCGTAAATACCGCTACTTTGCGGCCAGCTTCGAGTCGTTGACACTTTTGTCGTGGACTGTTTTCATATCTGACGCTGGCCTGATGGTGCGCCATTTTTCAATATTTCGCTCGTTCCTGGAAGAACAGCATCCCATACCGCGCCCGAAGCACGCAGCGGGTTTTTTCGTATTCAAAGGGCATACACTTGATGTCAGAATGGCCTCTCTCCTGGCGGCAGTCGTGTTGGCAATCCTCGTGGGGCACATGCAAAAGAAAGTCGATCAAAGTCTCCGCGCAGACGAGAAGTTGATGGGGGTGCTGGAGGACGTCGAACAAACAAGGCCACTCGCTCGCAGCGCAGACAGGACCAACTGTAGTGTGGCAGCCCCCCCCCTTTTGGAGGGCAGCAAGCGCGGCAAACAGCCCTACCACAGCTACGGGAAGCTCGCCTGGCGCGGCGACGCGCGGCGCACCCCCACGGGGCACAGACATCGCAGCCGATTTGGAATGTCACGTCGACGCGGGTTTCCTCGCGCGCGTGTGTGCGTTTTCTGCCCCCCGCCCTGGCATCCACACTCAGTGCAGCTTGCAGTTCATTCGAGGCGCCGCTTAGGCAGCTTAGGCAGTTTAGGTGCGCGGCTCTAGTTTGCTCCTGCTGTAAATTAGTAGGCCCGCGCCCCGGACTTACGACTCGCGTTTGCGCTCTCGCCTGCGGCCGCGACCAAAAAAGTTTCCTCGCGCGCATCGGAAGCGAGTTCCAGACGAGAATCACGTCTCAGCGACGCCTCGCTCGAGAAGCACGGTGCAAGCTTGGTCAGAGCTGTTGCGCGAGCTGGCATCAAGACCATCGCGGAACACGCTTCCAAAAGCAACAGAAAGTTATCACATATCAAAAGAGAGCTCGGCGACATGCGCTCCTCCTTCGCCAGGCAGCAGAAGCAGACGGACGACCTCTGGCGCACCGTGAAAGACTTGAAAGAGCTCTCAGTCGCTGAAAGGATGGTGGGAATGATGGACGCAGAAGCTGCTGCCAGATACGATCGCGAGCCCGACTCCAGCCTCCCCTGCATGAATACGCCACCAGATGCTTCAAAGCCTTTGCCGAGCTCAACAACGCAGACGGCACGCGGAGGATATATACAGCGCGTGGCGCCGCCAACAACGCCGACACACCGATCTCCATTGCTCTGGGCAGAAGCCCCCGACAAGCAAGAACAGAAACCAAAGCCAAGAAGCTCTTCGGATGTGTCAAGAACGCCTACCCGCACGATTATTGAAGCCTCGAAGCCTACGAAGGCCAAGTTCCACGGAAGCCGACCCGTGGCAAGAGTGGACATGGGCAGACAACCCGACGACAGGCCACAACTGATCGGAATCACGTGACCGCTGCAGACCTGGCAGTCAGCCCAGCTGCCCTCAAGGACAAAGCCGCCGTCTGCAACTTCTTCGAGGGGCTCGCCGAGCCACCCGACGACGCCCACGCCGCATGGCCTGTGCAATACGGCCTTCGCTCCCTCGAAGATCACTCGCACCCCTGACGAGCTCAAGGAGAGAAGTTAGATGACTGGCTCCTGCGCAAGATGCATCGTGGAATCGCCGCGCTGTCATTCATCATGATACTGACAAGCGCGACGCCGAGCTCAACTGCTTTGCACGAGTGTCGAAGCAAAAGTCAACGCCACGGGCGCTACAGGAAGTTCACTGACCAGAACAAGACTACACCAAGCTCTGCACCGCGCCCATGCCCCTGCAGGATTACGACAAAATCTGCTCGATACCATCGTGCACGTGGCCGGCATGCGCCCGATCGTCTATGGCGTCAAGGTCGCCCACGTGGAGGCCGAAGGTTGTGGGCGCTGTAAACGATGGGGCCCGAGCCTTCGAAGTTTTTGTCATCGCCGCGCTGCGTCGTCAGCTGTGTGCGCAGTGCTCGTCCAGGGGCTATGTCGACTGGTTTGGCGACCTCGATATGTTTCCCAGTTTCGGCGCTAAGATCGCACCTCCTCCTGCCGCCCACTGCCAGCTTGCACCTGGCCGCACAGCCACCATCGCAGCGGGCGGCATCTAATTCTCCGACAGGCCAGCCGCCCATGCACAACCGCCGAAGGTAGACCGCGACGTTTCGTTCGCCGACGTCCACAATTACACGCTCGCGGGCCGCGCCGCTCGCGGGCGGAGCGAGATTCCGGCACAGTTCGCGGAGGTCCACGATGACGCGCCCGCGCACGACGCGACAGGGGGGCCGCCGCTCGCCAACCCATCAAGAAATAAAGAAATCAAGATAAGCAACGCATTCCTGACCACATCTCCAGGCACCCCACGTCCGCCGACTTCCCAAACCCGACCGACACGGAACTTAATCCTCGCCGACTTACCACAAGCAAACACGCTACGAGGAGCTCGCGCACGAAGCTGCACGCACCACCCGCAACTACCTGCTGGAGCAGCGCGCCCCCACCACGCCGAACGAGCTCATTGCCCTCCGCCCCATGGACCGAGCGGCCTGGAGGAACGACGCGAAGTTCGCAGAAACGTCTCGCGACGAACACAATCTCTCTGGCGAGCATCTCCACCTCCATCCTGGACGAGTGAACTTGCTCAACACGCAGTAGCCTTTCGCCGAGCTGTCGCCGAACGCAAGGAAGAATACAACAACTAACGCGCTGAAGCTATAAAATGTCGAACTGAAGCCGCCGGCGAAGAAAAAGCTGTCGGTACACACCAGGTTCGGAGAGCGGAAACTCGTCGAGCCCTGGTGCGGGCCCCAACGAAGCGCCGCGTTATCTTCCAGTCCAATGCGAACGACGACAACGACCATTCCGATCAGTTCGACATCCTAGAACACATCCTCCAGCACTGGGGTGGCGCGTTCGCGGGCAAGCCCGCGCGCGGCGACTTGTGCCAGAGGCGCCTCGCAGCGCGCGCCACGGACCATGGACTCGGCGACTGCAACGCCTCCACAAGGAGCAGCATTGAGATGGCCATCAAGTCTGCGACCTGTCGGCTTCTGGGCCAGACGGGCTTCCCTTCGCGGCATGGAACGCATCCTGCAGTACACACTTTCTGCAAGAAGAACTACATGAACTACCATGTGGATATCCTCCCACAGGCCCCAACGACACCATCCTGGCCCCGACCCCAGAGGCCGAGGAGGCAAACGACACTGCCCTGAAACGACGCGCAGTGAAACAATTGCCCCACTACGACCCAGCAACACGGACTCCTGGATCCTCGCCGCCAGTTGCGACCGAAATATTCACGCCACCGAGGCCGAGGACGCGCAGGGGCGCCGACGCGGCTTCCCTGGCGAAGGCCAACTTATTGCCAACGTCGCGCAGATGGACACCTCGGCAAGACGAGGAGCTGGTTCGCAGCCACCAACCCGACGGAGCACGGCAGAGCGATGATGTGCGCCTACGACTTCGCCGTCGCCTTCCCGCCGCTGAACAGGACTTGGCTACGAAATGCTGCTTGTGATGCTGGGCTCGAAGGCCGCCTCCTGGACGCGCTGAAGGCCTTCTACGACGCACCGCACACCTACGCCTAGCCCAAGGGCGTCCTGCACTTCACATTCCCCGTCTCCGCGGGCATCGCGCAAGGCTGCCCGCCCAGTGGCACGGTCTGGCGCATCGTGCTGAATCCGATCCTGATCCGTCTCGACAGGGCCTTCAGACTGTACCCAGATTCAAGCCCCGACGCATGTGCCGACGACATTTGAGCGTTCGTGGGGGATTGCGTTCTCCTGGACAACGTACGCGCCACGTTCCGTAACGCAGAGTTACTCGCTGGGCTGCGCCTCAACTTCAAGAAGTGCGTCGGCGCACCGCTGCGCGACCAGTTTTACGAATCCATGACTGACGAGTTCCAGACGCGGCTCGGCACTATCCAGAAAGAGCGGGCCGCGTTCACCGTCGCCGACAGCGCCAAGTACTTGGGGACGATGCTCGGCCCCGCGATCACGCACGAGCACTAGGCCCCCCCACCCGCGAAGGTCAAACGTCGGGTCGTCGAGCTTGCCAGAGTTGGCGCCCCCACCTCGACTTCAAAACACACGCACAGGTTCTACGCTGTCTCCGCGCTCAGCTGCTTCGCCCAGTTCACAACCTTCCGCGCCACAGTATTCTGGGGCGTCGAGCACTGGGATATCCAAACATCCGTTCGATGGAGCTGATGGGTACGTCATCTCTCATGCGAGTGGCGCTGGAGACAGTACCGCTGTGGCAGGGCTGGTTTCAACATCTCCGCGGCATCGCTGAGCGCAAAGGAGGATTGGCAGCTCTACCACTTGCAGCCGAAGGCAGCATTGCCTCTTCCTGGAAGTCGTACACTCTCGAGAGCGCTACCGCCACCTCCCAGAAAGAAAGCTCACGAACCCGGTCGCTGCCCAAGCATTGATCGAGCTGGGGAGGGTACGCCGTGCAGTGGCGGCCGCAGTCAACGAAGGATTGACCGCAAGCCGTGTCCGAGCGCAGCGCACAATTGCACGTGCCATGCAGTCTTTCCTCGTCCCCGATGTCCTCGCCCCAACCCCACACACGCCGGACCAAGTGGACGTCACCAGTGGAGCTCGAGGCTCTGGATCTCGAGAATGCTTGGAGCACGCTCAAAGAGAAGCTCACCCCGAGCCCACCAGCGGTGGAGAGCGCAGTAATCAAGACAATCCTCGGAGCGTGGAGCACCTCGCACAGCCTTCCGAAGCCCACGCGGCCCTGCCTCTTTTAGCTGACCCGAGCAGCTAGACGACCATAGCCACTACTGCCATTGCGGCCCGCTCTGAGAGCTCATTTCGCCGTCAGGGCCAGACCCGCTGCTCGCTGAGCCCCTGACCCCTCGTCTCGGACTCCGCCCTGCCAGGCTGAATGACGACAGGATCACGCGAATCGCGTTGCTGTCCCACTCCCATTATTACCACCGCGATCCCCACAACAGGGGGCGTGGAACCATAGGCGACGCGCGCGCACGCAGCTATCGCTCGCCACGCTTCGCGCCAGATTCGCACAGATTCGTAGCCGCCGCCCCCGCGCGCAGGCCACACCGAGCAAATTGAACTGGGCCCTGGACGGCCCTCTCTGGCGCACGCGGCATCCTCCTCCTCTCCGATTTCTTCCTCCTCTCCCATCTCTTTTCCCTTGTCCGCCCACTTCCCGCTCCCTCTTCCACCAACCCTCTCCTATCCTGCCCTCCTTTCATCATCTCCTCTCCCCCCCTCCCTCCTCCCCCCTTCTTCCCTCTCTTGCTCGTCGCTGTCACCCTTATCCTCATCCTCTTCCTCGCTTCGCCCTCCCTCCTCCTCCTCCTCCTCCTCCTCCTCCTCCTCCTCCTCCTCATCATCATCATCATCATCATCATCATCATCATCTCATCATCATCATCATCATCATCATCATCATCATCATCATCATCACCATCATCACCATCCTCATCATCATCATCATCATCATCATCATCATCATCATCATCACCCGCATCCGCATACTCATCCTCATCCTCATCATTCCTCATCCTTATCCTCATCCCTTATCCTCCTCCTCCTCCTCCTCCTCCTCCTCCTCCTCCCTCCTCCTCCTCCTCCTCCTCCTCCTCTCCTCTTCCTCTCCTCCCTTCTCCTCCTCCTCCTCCTCTTCCTCCTCCTCCTCGCCTCCTCCTCCTCCTCCTCCTCCTCCTCCTCCTCCTCCTCCTCCTCCTCCTCCTCCTCCTCCTCCTCCTCCTCCTCCCCCGCACACCCCGGTGGCGACGGCGACGGCGACGACAACGACGACGGCCACGACGACGGCGACGACGACGGCCACGGCAGCCACGACGACGACGATGACAATTGCGACGATTACGATTACGATGCCGACGACGGCGGGGACGACGGCGACGACTATGACCATGACGGCGACGACGCCGCCGCCGAGGCCTCCGCGGCCGCCCCGAAGTCGCCAGCGCCCCCCCGAGCCAGGCCCCAGCGCTGTGAGGGGGGGGGGGGGGGGCGCGTCGCCAGCGTCGTCGCCGTCGGCGGCGTTGTCGACGTCGCCGTCGCGTCGTCGTCGGCGTCGTCGACGTCACAGTCGTCGACGTCGGCGTCTTTGTCACCGATGGGGGGGTCTGCTAGTCAGTCATCTCTGTTAGGGGCTTGAAGCTTTCAGGGGCCTGTCAGGGGCCAATCGTCGATCCCAGTCCTCCTCCTCCTCCTCCTCCTCCTTCTCCTCCTCCTCCCCCTCTTCCCCCTCCTCCTCCCCCTCGAGCCAGCCCCCCCTTTTCTCGACCCCCTCTCAACGCAGGCCTGGGGTGGTGGGCCTGGACGGTGCCCTATCTGCAGCAGCAAGGGGGGGACAGGAGCAGAGGAGGAGGAGGAGGAGGAGGAGGAGGTGGTGGACGACGACGATGAGGACGAGGAGGACGAGAGGGAGGACCTGTGCAAAGCCAAGACTCACCAACGATATTGCAATAAACCCTCCCTCCAAGCTCCCTGTCCACAGGCCCCTACAAGGATCCAGTCTCACTGTGGAAAGTGCCCCGTTGGAAGACAATCGTTTGAAAGTCCTGAACTGCCCCAGAGCACCAGTCCTGGGACTTCAACGCCGCGGCTGACGATGACTGTTGCGTCTTGACGATCAGACGCAAGTGTTGCTTCTTGACAACCCAATATCGTGCCTGAACACCGTTTGTGGGACGTTAACCCTGAGAAGCCTTGAAACTGCTGTAAACTCTCAAAACGAATGTGCGCGGCGCCAAGGCGAGAGCCACATGTTGAAAGCGGGCCGCCCTCCATCCGTGAAATGTTCAGTTTTTGTAAAGACGGATGTAAGCGACGCTGATGCGATGGCCACATTGGAAACGGCCACATCAGTGAAACTCTTGCACATTCTCGGCTTCAGGATAATTTGTGGTGAGGAAGTCTCAGGCGAAACGCCCGGTCCGCCAAGCAAACACGCCTAGCGGTGCGACAGGGAATGGAGGAGGAGGAGGAGGAGGAGGAGAGGGAAGAGGGAGGAGGGAGGAGGGAGGAGGGAGGAGGAGGGAGGAGGAGGAGGAGAGGAGGAGGAGGAGGAGGAGTGAGGAGGAGGAGGAGTGAGGAGGAGAGGAGGAGGAGGAGGAGAGAGGAGGAGGAGGAGGAGGACGAGGAGGACGAGGAGGGAGGAGGAGGACGAGGAGGGACGTCGTGGGCGGCCGGCCTCTCCAGGGGGCCCAGGCGTCAGGCCACCCTGAAAGTCGGGCAGCCCGCGCCGTCGCCCTCGGCCACGGAGAGGACGCGACCGCAGGCGGCAACCTGTATGAGCCGCAGGCGGTCATTAGGTCCCCCGTCCGCGCGGCCCCGCGGGGGAGAGGGGGCGCTCCACGGCAACAGGTGCCGCGACTGCTTCGAGCGCGCGAGAGAACTGAGGAAGGAGGAGCAGGAGCAGGAGGAGTAGTAGCAGGAGGAGGAGCAGGAGGAGGATCAGGAGGAGGAGGAGGAGGAGGGGGAGGAGGAGGAGGGGGCGGGGGGAGCAGTAGCATCAGCAGGGGAGCGGGGAGGAGGAGGAGGAGGAGGAGGAGGAGGAGGAGGAGGAGGAGGAGGAGGAGGCGGAGGCGCCACTTCAGCGCGCCGCGCGCAGGCCTGGGGTGATGTGCCCAGACGACCCCTTCTTCTGGTTCTGCCAGCAGAGCCACGCCCTCCACACGAACACGGCTGGGCGGCGCCAGCGACTGGACGGGGCCTCCGTCAGGGCGTGTCCGGGGGAGGGCGGGGAGGAGGGCTGTCCGTCGGCCTCAGACTTCTAACGTGCTCTCTGCAGAAACGCGCGGGCTGGAAAGCCGGCCCTGGAGAAAGGGTCGGCTCTTCTTGGGATGCCGTCCTGCAAAAACGAAGGCATCGGATCTCTGGGGGCTGGCTGCTGCCCATGCCGGCGCCCCGTGGGCGTGGCCCGCGGAAGCCACCACGAGGGGACCACTATGCGGGACCCTGCGGCCCACCCTCGCGGGAGCCCACCGTGCAGATGCAGTTCTGGGAGGGACGCTTTGGCCAGCCGCCTTGGACCCCATCATGTGGAGGCAATTCTGGGCAGGAGCAGGTGCAGTTCTGACCGGCACACTTTGACCGACCAGCACGGAGCCCATCACGCGGGGGCAAGTCTGGGCGGGACCCACATGTTCCTCATCATCCTCTTCCTCCACCTAGGCTACGGCTGCGAACGTGTCTGTTGATGCTGATGGCGCCATAGAGACCTTCCTCCCAGCCTTCGCCAGCGGGCAGTGATAGAAACAAGTCGAGGGTGTGTCATCATCATCATCATCATCATCATCATCATCATCATCATCATCATCATCATCATCAGCATCAGCATCAGCATCAGCATCAGCATCATCATCATCATGATCATGATCATCATCAGCAGCAGCAACATCATCATTGTCATCGTCATCATCATAGTCATCGTCATCAGCATCTCATCATCGTCATCGCCATCGTCATCGTCATTAGCATGATCATCAGCAGCAGAAGCATCAGCATCAGCATCCTTATCATCCTCATCATCAACATCATCAGCAGCAGCATCGTTATCTTCTTCATCATCAACATCATAATCATCATCATCGTCATCATCATCATCACAATCATCACCATCACCGCCATCACCGCCATCACCGTCATCATCATCGTAACCATCATCATTATCATTACCATCATCACTGTCATCATCCTCATCATCATCGTCGTTATCGTCATCGGTATACGCACAATCACCACCATTATCTTCATCAGCATCAGCATCATCATCGTCATCAGCAGCACCATCTTCACTTCTCATCGGCACAATCATCACTATCACCATCCCCTCCGCCTCGTTCCCCGCTCCATGACTGCCCTCTCCCTCCTCCGACTCCCTCCTCCTCCGTAGCCATTTCTGCTCAAGACTATGCGTTTCACAGTGGAACAAGTGGAGACCGCTCATCCGCGGCCACAACACCAAGTGTTCTCCCCCCTCGACCCTCGTGACGAGCCACCTGGCGGTCACGAGTCCGTGGGCCCGTCGGCACTGGGTTGTGTGGGTAAACGGTGGACGTTCTCATTCCTGCGCCGCCCAGCGCCATCATGTGGGTTGGAGAACAAGCTCGGCCCCCCGAGGCGTGGCAAAGATGATGAGAAAAATATCCAGTAACAATGAGAAGGATCAGGATAGATACCGCGATCGAGGGAAAGCCGCCCTACACTCCCCATCTCCTTCAACAGGAGGATCACGCTCGCGTATTGCCCCGCGCTCGCCACCTCCGCAGAGGTGACGGCTCATGATTTACCCGTCGAAGACAGTGTCGATAAAAGCCTCCTGCATGCACTTGATGAGGCACCAGGCGAGATCACAGGACCTCCTACGCCATGACATGTGGCCCCTGGCACACCAATCGCAGGCCCTCCCACACCCGAGATTGTAGCTGATGGTGCCCGCTCGTCAAGTGGACCTTGTTGGTGGCAGCTCAAAGACCGAAAGATGCGGCGAGTAATGGCTTCAGCAAGGAGGCCATGGTATTTCTTTGGAAAGACTTGCCCAATGCGCTGGCCAAAGCGACTGGCCCTTTCCTTCACACGTACCAATACGAAAGTCATAGTGTTGCAGCAGCAGATGGACTCACATTGTGCCAAGATGGCCAGCATGGAAAGGTACACGACTTGGAAGGACGATTGGCACATCTCGAGAAGGAGCTGGATCTAGCAAAAGCTGAGCCGACAGACGCTCTTGTTCTGGCCGGCGAGCGGGACAGAGTTGTGGATCCGACAACTTTGGAGGCGGTCGCAGGCGAGGGAGTCCCCAAATCTTCGGTGCAGACGACCATCACTGAGTGGCTGCAGGCCGCCAACATGTCCATCGGCCACGCCCAGAGGCGGGTTAGGGGGGGGAAGGCTTCTCAGAAGCACCCGTGCTTCTTAGAAGGTGCGGGCCTTGTCTAAAGACGTAAGGCTGGGGCCTTCTAAGAAGTAGGGTGCTTCTAAGAAGCCCCCCCCCCTCCCTCCATCCCCCTTTGTGCGCACCGCCAAGAGTGGCTGCCGGCCGCCAGCGTGTCCATCGGCACAGAGGTTGAGCTTCAAGAAGATGGGATCGGTCAGCAGTCCCGTCGGTCCCCCAAGGCCCTCCTCTTGCCCGCCACGCGCGAGCCCAGGCGCCGCCAGGCCTGGCCCGCGCCCAGAGCGGGATCGGGAAGGCGGCGCAGTTTCTCGGCGACCACGGCGGCTCCGACGGCCCCCCTTCACGCATCAGCGGATAGAGATCGGAATCAAGGGAGGAAAAAACACCCGGACCGGACAATGGGCGTTTCCTGAACGGCCTTGGGCGTGTAATCAAGCAGCCTTGCCCTGTTCGATTCCTTCTTCGGGTGCGTTTGCTCAACGGCTTCGCGTGTCGGGGCGGTTATCATCGGGGTGGAGTTTCTGCCCTCTACGAAAGGACATCGCCACAGAGATCACGCGCAAGCGCCTTCGGAAGGAGCTGCAGGAGGAGCTCGGCATCGACGCGTTCATTCACCGCGAGGGGGGCCAACCTCATGCGGAACGGGAGCCGCTCGAGAAGGTGACGCCGCCCCCATCCACTCGCGCCCCCCGCCCGGAATGAAATCCTGCCGCCCTTGGAGACGTCGGCGTCGGCAAGGAATCAGCTAGTAAGCCGACCGAGGACGGTCATGCTGCGTGAGGCGGAGTGGCGCGGGTCATATCCCTCTCCGTCACAAGTAGATCAGACAGGCCAGACGGAGCTCTGGTGCCTCACTCCAATACGCCCCTGCCAGGATGACGCAGCCCGCTGGGCGCGCCGAGGAAGCTCGCGCTCGCTGGCTCGGCCACCGCTGCTCAAGAGGAGGAGGAGGAGGAGGAGGAGGAGGAGGAGGAGGATGAGGAGGAGGAGGAGGGCGTTGTTCGAGGAGCTCTCCGGCGGGCCGGCGTGGCCCACCGCCGCCCCTTGTCCGCTCGCACGGTGGCGCGCATCGCGCGGGTGTGGCAATTTGCTCTCGTACGTGGCATTGCTTCGCTAGACGTCTCTCGCGAAGTGTTTCGCTCCTGGGCGTTTATGTTATCAATCGCTTCGCTTTAGGGCCTCTTGGTGGCCTCTTGGTGACCTCTTGGGAGTCTCTTGGGGCTCCTTGGCGGCGTCTCGGGGGGCCCCAGGGTCTCTTGGGGGGCTCTTGGGGGCCTCTTGGGGCGGGGGGGGGTAGTCGATTGCGGCTCCCGCCTCGGAGACCACGATCCTCGTGAGGGGTGTCGAAACATGGCCCTCCCTGGGCGTTTATGTTATTCCAACTTGTTGCAGGGCCAGCGGGTTAGCTCTGTTCCAATGGGGCGTGCACAGCCGCGACCTGGGTCGAGAGGATCTCCTTCGTGCGCAGGGTGCTGCCAACGAACAGAAAGTGCACGTCCACTCGGCCCCCGGGCAGTTTTCCTTGGCGATGACGGGTGACGTCGATATCTGTTCTGAGCACAGGTTGCGCGCCACCGCCTCTGCTCGCGATGCGCTGGGCCCTGCTCGCGCTTCTATTTCGATTCGTGCGTCTGCGAGGGCAGCGCCGTCAAGGACAGGCCGGCTCGGCGAAGGCATCTGGAGGTCAATCTTTCGGCCCCACACGGAGACGGCGTCGGATGCGCCAACGCACTGGCATGAGGGTACGCAGGCGGCAAGTAGGACAGATCGTTGATTCACGGCCACCCTGCCCTGGCTCCCTTGCGATTCGCGGTCTGCTCCAGATCCAGACCGTCTGCGACATGCTTCGTGGAAGGCCGGGCCGGGCACGCCCATCTTGCTCGAAGTCATTCGGTGGATCGCCCCTGGGAACCCCATGGGCTCGGAGTTGTCCGCTCCGTGGGATGCGTTCCTCCCCGCGTCTCTGAGAGATCCCGCGGGCGAGCCTGACTCTGGCGGGCTTCCTCCGGCAGCGTGTGCCGCGCGCCCCTCGGGCCGTCGCAAGACACGAGCAACAAGGTCGCCCGCGGGGCCTTCAGTGGGCGCGCCCCATCATCCGGCAGGTCGGGCGAGGTCCCAAAGCGGCTTCATCAAACATCACACTTTCCTAGATAATGTGGCAGACTGGGACACGCGCGCGAGATCTGCCCGCGCTCTCATCCAGGACCAGAAGGTTGGCGCGGCGCCCCCTCGCCCATCACTTTCGATGATTCTCGGGCGGTCCCGTCAGTGGCCAAAGGTGGCTATTTCTTTTCTTGAGACAGCTCAAGCTTCATCGGCCTTCATATTAAGCTCTGCATACGCTTTATCATTGCTCGCCGTGCTTCTTCGGGGATGCGTCTCTGGAGCTCACGTGCTATATGCGTTCTGAGGTCTTCCAAGGACGCCCCCTGAGGGGCTCGCTTGACGTTGCCGCGGCACACGCGTTAACCCTCGACTTAAGGGCGAGCCTGACCAAATCGAAACTCACGCTCGGAGCATCTCGCTCGCGCGCCGATGATCTCGGGGCTCTAATCTTAGAAAATCGCGGGTTCAGGAGGCTTGCTGGAGCACGTCGGATCGCAGGGCCCCTGTCGAATCGGCACCCAAAGCACGGGAACTGCACCGCGATCCCCCCTCGAGGGACCCTCAACAATGAGGTTGGCGATTGCGCGGGCAGCTGGTGGCTGCTGATCCGAGTTCGTCATCTCTCGCTGTCGTTGGAGATTGCATTTGCTTTGATTTCCAGTTGGCCAGCTGCAACTGGCGATGATCGACTGGCTAAGCACGCGGCAAGAGCGATTGAGTTTGGGAGGCAGGGCGCCCCCCTATTTCGGCACTGACTGACTTGCATCGGGAGCGCACTTTCGCTGCAACGAATCATGCGGCGCAACTAGTGCCGATGAAATGGGGCGCTGCTCAGGCACAGCGTCATCTTCTTGCACGGCTTCTTCGCTCCCCCAGTGGCACGTTGCGCAGCGGCGACGTATTCGAGCTGAGCGACCGGCGAGGGCCGATGTTCTCATCCATGTATACATTGGCAGCAGCGGCGCGCACGAGGACGGCTCTGATCTCATGCTCCACGCGTAGACAAAGGTTGACTTATCACCGTCGCATGTTGGTAGATTACGGGTCTGCTTCTCTGCGGGATTCCTCGCAGATGGCCCCCGCGCTTCTGGTCCTCTATCCCCTTCGCCAAGTGTTTTGGGGATGCTGTTCATGGCTTCCAGAATGACCGTCATCCTCGCGGGAGAGGCGGGTTGCTGTTCACGATGTGGCAGACGGAAAGCAAGGTGACCCCAGTGGAGGTCAGGTCGGTATTTCGTGACGGTCCCCTTCCTCATGCTCCTAATCGCATTGTTGTGACACTAGAGAACAGTGCTGGTGGCCCTGGCTCTCGCGAGCTGAAGCTGAAGTCCGAAGTGGCATTCCATCATATACGGTATGTTGTTGCTCGTGGTTGTTTCGCCGACGTCGAAGGAATTCTTCTAACGTCGCCTTGTCAAGCACATTTACACTTGCCACACATATTTTTATAGCCTGACGCAAGTTTTGGCTACGGCCCCGATGACACGGGCGGCAGCAGCGGCGATGACGAGATTGGGCACTTGGATCACCAATGCCCGCATGCAGCGCGAAACACCTTGCATTTAAGGCGGCCTCGCGTGTCGGGATACAGCGCGGCGCTACATCATTGAGTGTGGCAGCTTTCGTTGCGGTGCAACTGTCCTAGAGGTCTTGATTTCCGACGGGGCCTAGAATTCGGCCGCATGAGCTTTCTCATTGCCATGCACCACCACGACCGCCTCATGAGCCACAATTATGTCTCACCGCCCACGTACGCGTAAGTCGGGCCTGTCCCCCTTCAGGGAGAATATTCAAAAATAGGCAAAAATAGTCTGGGGACGATGTTTTGACTAAGTTTCACCACTTTGGAGCATTGTTTGACTATTCTTTATTTCTTCCTCCAAAACCCGCCTGTGGGGGGGACACGCCCGAGCTAGATGTACGCTGAGGTCGCCGCGCGCGAGGAGGCCACTCGCCTCGCCGTGTGCGACTTCCCCCCTGGAGGACCCCAGAGGAGGCAGCCTCGCAGGCAGGAGTTGTCTCGGGTGGTGGTCGATGCCAGGAGAGATCGAGGGGGGGAGGAGGAGGAGGAGGAGGAGGAGGAGGAGGAGGAGGAGGAGGAGGGCCCCCTCGCCAGGAGTGTCGGAGCCGAGATCGCCCTCGTGAGAGAGCGAGGAGGATAGCAGCAGCAGCTTGTGCGTGGTCCTGCCTTTTGGCATCGGTGCCGTCTCGCTTCCGCCCTCTGCTCCCCGACCGCCGCCCACCCGCTCGTCTTCTGCCTGCTTGACTGCCTCCCGCCCGTTCCGAAACGACGCGAGACATGCATACGCCCAGACCCGGCGGCGCAGTACTGATGCGTGCTCGACACAGGTTCATCGACTAGACGTAAGAGTGACCTTTCGCCGGAGTGACCTTTGGTGCGGGCCCAGTGGAGCCCCCCGATCGCCGAACGCGATGCGATAGCAGCGCCCTGCGCGCCTGTGCTTGGTCCCCCCGCGGCCCCCAAAAAGCCGCGCACCAAAGGTCACTCTTACCCAGGGTCACTCCCTGCGTTTAGCCGAGTTCAGTAGCAGCAGCAGTAGCATTCGCACAATGTTGCAAATGGTAATGCCGTTTCGCCTCCCTCCTCTGCCGTTGCCCCTCTCGCCCAGGTTTCACACGCAGGCTCGGGCGGGCGCAGACAGCCAAGGTTGGAAAGGAGGCAGTGGGAGCTCGCTCGACTCGCCTCTGGGTACGCTCCGCCTCCTCCTCCCCCTCCTGCTGCACCCGATCTCGGCCCGAGCCACCTCCGGCCCAGGGCCGCGGGCGCCGCGGCCGACCGGCCGCGGGGACCCCTTCCGCGGCCGAGGGCAACACATGGCACCCCGCCGCGCGCTGCCCTCCGCCGCGGCGGCCTCCGCCGCGGCGGCCTCCGCCGCCGCGGCCGCCGCCGCCGCGGCGCGCGGCGGCGCGCCCGGGGCCGCCGCCTGGGCGGGGAGCCGCGCGGCCGGCGAGGGCTGCCGCGCGGCCGCGCGCGGCGGCGGGCCCACCGCGCACGGCGGCCACCGCGGCCCGCCCGCGGCGCGGCCGCGGCCGCGGGCGGCGGCCTCGGAGCACGCGGCCGCGGCGGCCGCGGTCGTGGCAGGCACCGCGGGCGCCGCCGCTCTCGGCAGGCGGGCCCGCCGGCGCGGGCGGGTCGCGGCCTGCGTGCTGCCGGACGGGACGAACGAGGATCGCTCGGGGCTCGAGAGACGGGGGTCCATGCAAACGAGGGGCAAGCCAGAGCGCCGGATCTTGCAGGATCCTGCAGGGCCAGGGTCGCACTGACCCGGGCTGGGGCACAGGATCCTGCAGGATCTTGCAGGATCCTGCAGGGCCAGGGTCGCATTGACCCGGGCTCGGGTGCAGGATACTGCAGAATCTTGCAGGATCCTGCAGTGCCTGACTGACCGGGTCTGGGCTGACCTGGGTCAGCAGCTCCCCGCATCGCCACGGCGGGGGCGTTCGTGAGGGCATGTGCCCAGGAGGCCTCAGGCCTTGGATGCTCCACGGTCTGAGGAGGGCGGCGTTGGCCAACCTCCACGACTGGAGCCCTGCTGGTTTTTTCGGGCCCGGGATTCCTGGATCCAATGGCTCCCTCGCCAGCGCCCTCACCGCCTGCAGCAAGCGGGCCGCCGTGGGAGAGGCGGGTGCCGGAGGGTGGGGCCGGCCTCGACGCGCCGACCGCGACCCTCCTTGCGTCGAGGAGCAGGACCAGGACCAGGACCAGGAGGAGGAGGAGGAGGAGGCGGAGGAGGAGGAGGAGGGGAGGAGGAAGCTGTGGGAGGAGGAGGAGGAGGAGGAGGAGGAGGAGGAGGAGGAGGATCAGGAGTTTTTGTTCATTCGTCTGCTCACTCTGGCGGCCCTCCACGGGCCCCTCTGGGCCACCAAGAAGCAGCTCGGGATGAAAAGCTGGCCCTGCGGGGCAGCACTGCGGTCCAGGAGCAGTTGCCCCTCGAGGCCCGCTTGCTCCAAGCCAGCAGGAGGGGGAGGACATCGAGCGGCCGCTGGGCCTGACCCGTGGTGACCTGGAGAGGGTGGTGCTCTACGGACAGGATCCAGGCCGCCCAACGACTGCATCGAAGCTGGCGGGGTCGGAGGATCGCGCCGCATCACCACTGCATCGGCGTTGCGACGCGATCCTGACGTCGACGGTGCATTGTCGGTGCATCGGCTCGGCGGCGCGATCTCCCGACCCCCTCTGCTCAGGCCTCACGTGGGCGGCCTCCGCAGGACGCGTCCCCGCCCTGCGTCAAGATCCAGACCATGCTGCAGTACTACGGTGTGCCCTTCGAGATGGTGAAGGGCCGGCACCCCACTTCCGACTACAAGAAGATCCCCGTCATCGAGCTGAACGACCGCCAGGTGAACGACTCCCACGTCATCGTGCGGAACCTGGTGCCCGTGCTGACTGGCCGCTCCTTGACGGAGGAGGAGCTCGAGTGGGAGCGGAGGATCACCTTTGAGTTCCAGCCCTCCTTCGAGGTGGAGCTCTTCGGCAACGGCGGCGACCTGGCGAAGTTCGTGGGCGTCGAAGGCTGGCAGGCCGGGCTGCTCGGGCTCGCGTCGGGGCCCATCAGCGCACTGGTGGGCTCCGTCTTCCGGTCGCGCTACGGGGACCTCCCCGCGGCGGCGGCCTGGGGCAGGGACTTCCAGCAGGCCAGGGCCCACTTCGACCCGATCGATCCGATTCGATGTTCGATGTCGAGCATGGCCGGCCGGCTCCGCTCCGGTTCCGAGGTGCCGACGCTCCGGTGCGGCCCGACGCTTGCCCGGCGCCGCTGTGCACCTCGGCGCAGCCGATCCGGTCCGATCCCGGCCCCGTGCCGATGCGGCCCGATGCGCTGCGATCTCCCGCCTCGCTGCTGGGTGATCCTTACCAGCCTGGAGCATATCCCTATCCCTATGCTGGGCACCCCCCCATCACGATGCGAATCTTAGGGGGTCCCTATTTTTTTGAGGGCGAACCCCTAAGATCGTCATCGCCTTTTGGCGTGTCAATCTCAGGGCTAGGGATCCGCTCGAGGCTGGTACGATCCTGGCAGGCGCTCGGCGACCGGCCCTTCTACCACGGCCAGGCGCCGGGGCCCATAGACCTCAGCCTCTACGGCACCTACGTGCGCTTCGAGGAGAAGGGCTGCCAGACGTCGGCCGACTTCCTGGGCAGCAGCGGTCTCCGGGCGTGGCACGAGCGGATGGTGCGGGCGGTGGAGGCCGGAGCGCCGGCTGCGGCCGCCGCGTGAGCCTCGGAGGGGAGATTGTGAGGATCAGCTCGTCCGAATGCCAGCACGAAGAGCGCGCCGCTGCATCGTCAGATCACGTTTTCGACTAGACGTAAGAGTGACCTTTCGCCGGAGTGACCTTAGGTGCGGGCCCAGTGGGGCCCCCCAATCGCCGAACGCGATGCGATAGTGGCGCCTTGCGCGCCTGTGTTTGGTCCCCTCGCGGCCCCAAAGAAGCCGCGCACCAAAGGTCACCCTTACCCAGGGTCACTCCTGCGTGTAGCCAACTTTTTTGCACACATCTTGATGTGCAATATAGCAACATTAGTTGCAGCAGCGGCTGGCGTGCCGTTGTTTGCAGTCGACCCGCGCCTATCCATGCTGGTCGCCGCCTGCCTCCGTTTTCCAGCAAGGCTTGTGTTCACCATTCACTTTTCGTGCAAACTCTCCCAGCTACCAGCTGGTATTTTCGGTGGCCTGGGTGCCTTGGAGGCGAAGCTTGAGGCGACCCACTGAAGCACAAGTTCTAGCCACAGACCCCGTGACGATCGAAGGGGTAAGAGCGGCAGAAGCAGAAATGTTCGGAGGTCCGCGCGAAGTTCTTGGATCTGCGCTGGGCTCACACCCTGCCGTGGCAGAGCCGTGCGCAGAATTATCGAAAGTTGCCGATCCATTGGAACAGGTCCAAAAGCAAACGAGCAATAGACAACAACAACAACAACAACAACAACAACAACAACAACAACAACAACAACAACAATCATTTTTCATGTTAAGACTGTTCGCCCTTATCTGTTCGAGTGTCCAATAACGCCTATTTCCCAAACCCTCGATACCCGCCCTCTTCGTCTTCGATCGAACCCCTTTGGGGGGTATACCTTTCTTCCCTGCAGGCTGGGCCCGGGCAAGCGGCGGGGCGGCCGCGGACCGTCGGCCTGGCCAGCGGCAGCGCTGATCGGCGGGGCGGCCGCGGACCGTCGACCCGACCCCAAGAGGGACGGACAGGTGACCGACCACGACGACGACGACGTCGACGACGACGGTGACGACGACGACGTCGACGATGACGGCGACGAGTGAAAGCGAGAGCGAAAGAGAACGACGGCAGGGCCACAAGGACACGAAGTAGGCCACGAAGGGCAACAGCGGGGACACGAAGGGAATGCGTCATGGGGCCACGAAGAGCGCGAACGAGCGGGGGCCACGAAGGGCAGATAATGCGGGGCCACAGAAAGCAACGATGGAGCCACTGAGGGTAGCAACTGGGCCACGTCGGACATATGCATATGGGGCCACCACGGGCGCGAACGAGCGGGGGCCACGAAGGGCATACATATATGGAGCCACGAAGGGCAGCGACGACGGACCGACGGCCGTTGGACGAAGGTTATGCTGGATTGGTCTTTGACAGGTTGCAGAGCGCAGGCGAGGCCCTTAACGCGCTGGTGCGATAGTTTGAGCAAGTGCTTCACAGGCACAGCAGGGAGGCCGGTTGGCGGTTCCTCTTGGATCGCAGCCGCACAAGACCGGGACTATTGGAAACAGATGGAGGATGATTGCATTGAGTTCTGCAGGCGGTGAGCATGGCATCCACGGCTGCCAACAGTCGAGCCCTGTTTGGGGGCACGTGGCAGTGCGCGTCGCGCACGGCCCGTACTCGACTTCCGTTCCGAAGGGCACCGAGGGGGCCACGAAGGGATGTAACGGGGCCACGAAGGGCAGCGAGGGGGCCACGAAGGGCTGCAACGGGGCCACGAAGGGCTGCGACGGGGCCACGAAGGGCAGCGAGGGGGCCACGAAGGGTTGCAACGGGGCCACGGAACAAAGCGAGAATGCAACGAAGGACTGCAACGGGGCCACGAAGTGCAGCAAGGAGGCCACGAGGGGCTGCAACGGGGCCACGAGCGGCAGCGAGGGGATCACGAAGGGCTGCAACGGGGCCACGAAACAAAGCGAGGGGGCCACGAAGGGCTGCAACGGGGTCACGAAGGGCAGCGAGATCCCGATTCCTATGTCATCAGTGAGGGAGTCCAGAGCGTGAGCGCGACACCTGGGTACCTGGGTGTCGGGAGCGCGGCGCTTCAGTAAATGAAAGGAAATTCCAACACAAGGGCGCTTTTCTTCAGTAAATTGCAAGCAAGTCTCCAGCGAGAGCGCGACTCGAGAGCGCCAGGAGAATAAGTGTTAAGGAAATCCCAAGCGAGAGCGCGATTTCTGAATAAAACGCGAGAACGTCTCGGGCGGGAGCGGGGGTCCTGGCTAAATTGTGAGGAAATCTCTGGCGGGAGCCGTTGTTGTTGTAAACCGGGGGCCAACGACACATTTTGACCCGCAAGACTTCCCCTGATAAAAACAGGGTGCGAGCCCCGGGAAGGGCATTTCAATCGAAATAACAATGTGCACCAGACGGGGGGAACAATAATAATTATTCTTCAGAAATGAGAGTTCAACAACAACAACAACAACAACAACAACAACAACAACAACAACCACAACCACAACCACAACCACAACCACAACCACAACCACAACCACAACAACCACAACAACCACAACAACCACAACAACCACAACAACCACAACCACAACCACAACCACAACCACAACCACAACAATAGTACATCAATCATTTAAAGACTGTTCGCTCGTACTGGCACGCGTGTCTTGCATTCCGTATACCCCAAACCTCGATACCCGCCCATTTCGTCTTCGATTGCACCCCCTGTGGGGGGGGAATCTCTTCTTTGTCAGCCACTGACTGGAGTGCAAAGAAGTCTCGGGCGAGAGCGCCGTTCCTGAGTTCGGGGGCCTCTCTGGCCAGGGGCTCCCGGAATACCTATGGAGAAATATCGAATGGGAGACCTTGTTGCCGTGTCCGGGTTCGCCAACTTGCATGAATTACGGGAAAGTCTCGAGCGAGAGCGCAACAACAACCACAACGACAACAACCACAACAACCACAACCAGGACAACAACCACAACCACAACAACAGCAGCAGCAACCACAACCACAACCACAATCACAACAACAATAACCACAACAACAACAACAACAACAACAACAACCACAACAACAAACAACCACAACTACAACAACAACCACAACCACAACCACGACAGCAGCAGCAGCAACCACAACAACAACCACAACAACAACAACAACAACAACAACAGCAACAACCACAACAACCACAACAACCACAACCACAACAACCACAGCAGCAGCAGCGACCACAACAACAACAACAACCACAACACCAACAACCACAACAACAACAACAACAACAACAACAACCACAACCACAACCACAACAGCAGCAGCAGCACCCGCAGCTCGCGGATCTGCGCTGGAGCCCCCTGGAGGCGCCGCCCCTGGCGTGCTCCCGCGCGCCAGGCGGTGGGCTCCAGCAGCGATCCCAAAAAAGCGCCCGCGCGGGCCTCCGAGAGCTCGCTTCCCTTAGCAGTGCTCGCGCTTCGGCTCAAGTCGGGCGTGTCCCTCTACAGGAGGGATACACCAGAGTGGCCAAAAAATAGTCGGGGGGCGACTTTCTTGTTATTTGTTGACCATGTTCGAATATTTTGGGGGTATTTTTCATTTTTCGTCCAAAATCCGCCTGTAGGGTGACATGCCCGACCTAAACTTAGGGTCTGTGATCGTTTTCTTGTTCATTGCTGCTTTGCCGATCGGCGCGGGCCCTCGCACCCCCCTCCGCCCTCCCCCCCATGGAGTAGATCTTGGCTGTTTTTGGCGCTCGTTTCAAGCAGGTGGGGTAAGCACGGGGGCCCGGCCTCCCCATAGGATTCCCCATGGGAGCACTGTTCCAAACAGTCGCACTAAGCAGAGGTCTGGAGCCTGACCCCCCCCTTCCGCCCAATGTCGAAACGCCTAATAAGAAAACGTTAACTTTCTTAGTTCTTTTCTACGGAACTGGGCTGGTGTGGCGGTCTGGCGGCTGTGTTGTTGCTGTCGCCGCCCCGGCGCCGCCTCGTCGCCGCCCGTCGTCCGGGCCGGTGTGGCGGTCCGGCGGCTATTTTGTCGCCGTCGCCGCCCCGTCGCCGCCTCGTCGCCGCCTGTTGTCTGGGCTGGTGTGGCGGTATGGCGGGTAGGTTGTTGCCGTCGTTGCCTCGTCGCCGCCTCGTCGCCGCCCGTCGTCTGGGCCAGTGTGGCGGTCTGGCGGCTATCTTGTCGCCGTCGCCGCCCCGTCGCCGCCTCGTCGCCGCCTTTGGATTGCACCACATAGATTTCGAGACATACCATGCACCACATAGGGTGCATTACATATCATGTACCACATATACTGTAGCACACAAGTTGCACAACATAGATTGCATAACATGGATTGCGCCACATTTGTTGCACACCTGATAATGCACCACCTAGACTGCACCACATTGATTCCTCCACACATATTGCATCACATGTTTGTTCCTTCATTCAATCGCTTCGCTCATTCCGCCGGCCCATATTGTAGCATCGCTGGCACTTGCTTGGGTGCTTGGGGGGGCATTGGGGGGGCCTCCTGGGGCCGCTTGGGGGCCCCTTGGGGGCCTCCTGAGGGCCTTGTGGAGGCATCTTAGGGCCTCTTGGGGGCCTCTTGGGGCCTCTTGGGAGCTCCTGGGGGCCTCTCGGGACCGAGGGCTCGAAATATCCGTGCTGGTCTCCCGTCTGGACCCCCTCTTGGAGCCGTCTTGGGGGCCTCTTGGGCTGTCTTGGAGGCCTCTTGGGTCGTCTTGGGGCCCTCTGGGGCGGTTTTAGAAAGAATTGCGATCTACCTCCCTCCCCGGGATTATCCCCCCGCCCTGGGGCTCGTCATCATTATGCCCCCGCCCTGTCGCACCCCCAGACGTGTCAGTAGGGCAGGCCGGGCGTTTCGCGTCAGAGTTCCTCACCATCTATGATCCTGAAGCTTGAACTTTGCAACAGCTTCAGGGATGGAGGGCGGGTGGTTTTTCAAAATTTGGTTCTCGCCTTAGCGCCGCGCACGTTCGCTGCAAGCGTTTCCAGCAAGTTCAGGAAATCAGGTGGTTGCGATCCCAAGAAAGGCGTTCTGGCACTGTTTAGGACTGTCAGGACGCAACTGTCACGTTGATTCGCAGTGTGGAAGTCCTAGGAAGGGTGTTCTGGCACGACTTAGGTATGTCAGGAGGCATCAGTCACGTTGATTCGCGGCGGTGACGTCCCAGGGGTCGCGTTTTGGCACGATTGGGGACTCTCAGACGGTTGTTTTTCGATGGGGCGTTTCCCGCACTTACCAGATTCTTATAGAAGCATATGAAGATGGAACTAGGAGGGAGGGTTTATTGCAACACCGTTGATGCATTTTGGGTTTGTAGTGGTCTCCCTCCTCCTCCTCCTCCTCCTACTCCTCCTCCTCCAGACCGTGCGCCTAGGCACGCTCGACTCCTCCTCCTCATCCTCCTCCTCCTCCTCCTCCTCCTCCTCCTCCTCCCCCTACTCCTCCTACTCATTATTATCCTCCTCCTCCTCCTCCTTGCCCATCTTCCTCTCCCGCCTCCTCCTGTCCCTCCTCCTCCTGTCCCTCCTCCTCCTCCTCCTCCTCCTCCTCCTCCTCCTCCTCCTCCTTGGCGTCTCACTGCGCCAGGACCCGGCCGCCCTGCAGTGCTGGTACACCGACTTCGCGTCGCGGAGCGGCACGCCAGAACCACGGCCGCGGCCACGGCCGAAGGACTCTACCGTCGTCGTCGTCGTCGTCGGGGCTGGCACTGTCGTCGTCCTCCTCCTCGTCCTCCTCGCCCTCGTCCTTCTCCTCCTCCTCCTCCTCCTCCTCCTCCTCCTCCTCCTCCTCCTATTCCTCCCCCTCCTCCTCCTCCTTGCGCTCATCCTCACCCTCATTCTCATCGTCACCCTCCTCCTACGAGCTACAAGCTGATGGCAGGAGATTCGAAGTTTGACGCTGGCTCCCTCTCCTCTTCCCACTCCTCCTCATCATCATCGTAAGAGGAAGAGTATTTCAGGAGGCGAAGGAGGAGAAGCAGGGCGAGGAGGAGGAGGAGGAGGAGGAAGAGGAGGAGTCGGAGGAGGAGGAGGAGGAGGAGGAGCAGCACCAGCTGGAGGAGAAGGATCCAGACGTCGAAGAGCAGCACCAGCTGGAGGAGAAGGAAGAGGAGGAGGAGGTTGGAGAGGGAGAGGATTGAGGAGAAGAAGGATCGGGCAGAGAGAGAGAGAGAGGGAGGAGGAGGGAGCATGGAGGAGGGAGGAGCAGGAGGCGGGAGGAGGGGGAAGGGAGAGGAAGAATAAACAGGATAAACAGCCCTGGAGGCACCATCAAGTCTCCCGACGACGCTCCGAGAACAAGGGGAGGAATGGTGACGGCACGCACACCAACGCAACTCCAGTCAAGTCTACCTCCCTTGGCCGGACAGGTGGCCATGGACAATGTGTGAACATGTGCCCCCCACGGGGCAACATGTTCAGAAATTGTCCAGGGTGTCCCGCCTGGCAGAAGGGCGGTTCAATAATAATAATAATCATAATCATAATCATAATAATAAGACTACTAATAATAGTAATCATAACTATAATAATACTAATTATACTAATAATAATACTGATAATCATAATGATAATAATAATAGTAAGAATAAGAATAAACATAAGAAGAATAATAATAATACGCATGATAATAGTAGAATATAAATATCTATAACAAAAGCCCAAAGAAGAAGGAAAAAAAAAAAAAAAAAAAAAAAAAAAAAAAAAAAAAAAAACGGGGGCTCTCCTGCCCTGGGATGTCTGCCCGCGAGCAGACGGTCCAGGGCCGCCCGCGGCCCTTTCTCGAGCCGCCGCGCCTAGCAGCGACCCGGCAGGAGAGGTCCCACACGCTGCGAGCTGAAACCCCAGCACCGAAAGCAGAACACGAGCGGCCCCGCGGGCCCCACATGATGCCCCAAAGGAGGCGAACCCATCCCCCGAGCTCGACGCAGAGGCCGCTCCTTCAGCAACAGCCTCGGCCCCAGTGTCCACGGGCCCCAAACCAGCACCACCAGAGACAGCCACAGTCGCCATCGCCAAACGGACGGTCTCTGGTCTCGCAATCGGGCGGGCCTTCGCAAGTCTACCCTCCTGGGGCGAAATCTACCTTTGCCCTGCCGGCCTGAAAGCCTGTGGGGGCACACTTACGGCCACCCCCAGACGTTGCCCATTTCAGAGTTGCGCCGGTCCTCGCCTGACGCAGACGTCGCCGACACACCTGGCCGTCTGACTCCAGGGCCCGAAACTCGTGCTCCGGAAGCAGCAAGAGCAACACACTCGCCAGGGGGCGCTCGGCATTGGAGGCCCGAGACGCGTCCCCCTCACGGTGTCGCACAGGGTCCCTGACGTCACCACATCAGCAGACGAGGCCCGCTGAGCCGCCGCCCACGCGAAAAAATCGGCCTCCTTCTTGTGACGAGCGAGCTGGGCCGACAAAGCTACGGCGACAGCCTCGGCCACACAATGAGTACAAGCCCCGACCTTGGCAAAGAAGTCGGCCCATGAGTTGCCTATCCACCTCTCAGGTGGCTTGTCAGGGTACTGCATCAGGAAGTCCTGGAAATCCAGATGGGCAGGCACCCACTCGAGATCAGGCGGGCCCGCAGGCCCCACCTGCAGCACAATTCTCCGTCGGATCGAAGCGTGGGTCCGACGGCCCTCCGACAACTCAGGGTCCCAAGACTTGCCCTCCTGGACCGTACCTAAGGGAGATGTGCGAGGCACTGAAGGGAGATGTGCGAGGCACTGAAGGACGGACTCTCTTTCAGCCGCTCCAACAGTTTGATTCATGCCTGGCAGAAGGGGCCGTACGCAGCACAAGACAGAAGCCCACCCTCCCCCAGCTGAACCACCGCCCACCCACATCTCCGAAGTTCAGGCCAGGCACCGTGCATGCCTGAGCAGGCCCAGTCGGGCCAGCGATCCAGGTCCGAACACCAGTCGCCCCAGAAGAGCACGGGAAGCTTTCCGGCAACGGGCGGGAGTGGCTTGGGGCGCTTCGGGAGCCCAGTGAAACAAAAAAACTCGAGGAGGTCCCAACACTCATGTCCGAACGAATTCACAGATCTCTGAGACAATTCATCCCGAACTTGCTCTACGTCCTCGCCCGCGTCGTCTCCCGGGAGCGGCGGGCAGGCGCAGAAGTGGTGGCCGATCGCCCCCTCCAGTGTTGTAGCTCCGCGCAGTCGGGGCGAGGACACACGGGCGATCCGACCGACTGCCGAGAATATCTCTCCGACATTGTCGTGAAACCACCTGCCCACAACTTGCGGATGGCCCCTGACAGCTGCGGCGCGGTCAGAGCCGCCCTTCGCTCCCCAACCAGCAGCGGCAACGCTCGCACCCAGATGCCCCCATCTCCCTCGAGATGTTCGCCCAAGTGCATCAGGATTTGCCGCGACTGCCAACGCATGATGCCTTGACGGAGGACATGCCTGATCTCAATGGGCGAGTCTTGCCGCAGGAAGAAGACGACTCCCTCGCCTGACTTGACCATCGCGCTGCTGGTCATGTCCCAGCCTACTCGTCTCGAGGAAAGCCCGCACGCCGCCAAGGGACCACGAGCGCCATGCCAGCCAGGAGCGCCACTTGCTGCCAGCGGTCGTGCAACACGCGCCACGCACGCTCCAGGCGCCCCAGCTCGACCATCTGATCAGGATCGAACCACTTCTCGCGCTGCGTGGCCAGATTAGCAGCATGGCCCATGCCACCAGAAGATACTCCACCCATAGCAGCCGCCGCCTGTCGCAACCTGCGAAGATCAGGGCGAGGCACACCCGCCACGCTCGCGCCATGAGCCGCCGAGGTCAGCAGCCCAGTGCGCCAGAGCGCCTGTACACGCCCGCCAGCCTTTCACAGCGTCCTGACGCGAGGCAGCCGAGACGGCAGCTTCATGAGCCGAGCCTTGGCCACGGGCCTTTGCACTTGTCCGCCGTGCAAGTCGCGCCCCAGGCTCCTGACCACCGTCTTCTGCCTGGGCCTCATCGCCCTGGCCCACGGCCTGAACGCCGAAGGCCGACCCCTCGACGTAGACACGAAGACCGAGTTGGTCGGCTGGATGATAAGCCCCAGCCGCCTGGACCCTTGGATGAGCTCCCTCGCAGGCCTGGGCACCGATCCACTGAAGAGTAGCATCATCAGCCAGCCCGCGGGACCTAATCGAGCTGCTCACCTACTGCACCTTGACCAGCGTGCGCAGCATCAGCACCGACAGCGGCGCGGCGTCGTGCGAGTGCCCAGGCAGATTGCCCCGCCGCACTACCGTCATCACGCTGAGGCTGCCGCAGGAGCGCACCGCCCTCGGCATGCAATGGTAAGTGACCAACTGCCATGACCACCCAGTCGCGCCCAGCTCGGTTCAGGTCCGTCAAGTAGCGAGGCATTTGCAGCAAGATGGCCTCCTTTCAAGGGCCGAGACCAACTCCTAACACGAGGTAGACACAAATCACAACAATGCCACCCAGAACCCCCCAAGCCACGTCGGCCACGATCACGCGCCCGCCGACCATAATGGGGTTGTCCGGCAGCGGCGGCGCATTCACCACGATGTGCGTCGGCACCAAAATTGCAGCTCCATTGGATCGGCCTTCAGCTACAGTCTCCAAGGCGCTGGCCCACAGCCCGCGGTAACCCAGGTCCTTGGCGTGACCCTGCAAGAAGGCCAGGCCCGCGCTCAAAGTCTCGCGTTCCTGCACACATACAACTTGTGACCCACACTCTTCCAGCAAAGACTTGAGCGGAGCAGCACCTTCAACATTCACCGTGATGGTCGCACCCTTGACCTCATCGCTCACCGTCTCCCTCGAAGCTGCCGATGTGCCACGACCGACCGCGTTGCACCGCCCCCCTTCAACACCTGCCATATTCGCGCCTGGGTGCCCCAGGCTGCTGGAGCCCCGGGGGACTTGGCAAGCTGGAGTGGGACTGCAGGACCCACTGGTCGCCGTGGCCACACCCGCGGCGGCAGCACCCTCGTACTCGCCAGCAGGCGCTCCCATACTTCTGGCTTCTTCCGAAATAACCATTGCTTCAACAACGGCTGTCATCGCACAAAATCCGACGTGGACAATCTCAATTTCGCCTTCGCTTGACATCAGGGGGCAGGAAAGCGAGCGCACTCTCGGCAACACGCATAGCAGCAGCACGCAGTTCATCCAGACTCTCGGGTAGCTCCTCATCGCTGTAGACGCCCGCGAGGCTGGCCCGCCGCTCCTCCACCGAGGCACTGTCGATCCGCTCCGCCGCGGCGGCGCCCAGGTCTGCAGCGCTGGCCGCAGGGGCCGAGGGCGCGCCTGCGCCTGCACCGCCCTCGCAGACGCTCGCAGGGCGGCCGGCCGCCGGGCCGGTGGACCGCAGCACCTGCGGGATGACAGGCGCCAAGGCTTGGGCCAACGTGCCATTCTGCTCCGCGCCGACGCCGCTGGAGGCCAACATCTTGCCCAGCGCCGCCACGTTGACCTCGAGCCCTGCGATGGGGGCCCCGCGCTGCACCATGCCAGAAGCCCCGCCAACCTTTGTCGTGAACTCCGGCAGCTGCACGCTGAGAGCCGCCACCTCCTTTTCCTGCGCATCGAGGTCGGCCTCGGCAGCCAGCAGCTCCTCCTCCAGCACTGCCTTCTCCCCCCTATTACTCTCGACCGCCTCCCGCATGGCGGCGACCGTCTTCTCGCCCAGCTTGACCCTGTGCGACATGGTCTGGAGCTGCGCGTAGACGGGCCGCGACGCCTGCAGCCGCGAGTGCAGCTCGTCCTTCTCCCTCTTGAGCTCGTCCACGAACTTGCGTAACTTCTCGTCAGCGCTCGTGGTCTTCGCCAGCAGCGCCATCTGCTCGTCAATATCCTTGATCCTCTTGCGACATCCAGCTTCATCAACCTTGGACCCCTCGAAGATGCCGCCCGAGCCCGCGGCCTGGCCGCCACCCGCGTCGACGTCCATCTCCTCGGCGAGGCTCCCAGAAGCCTTGGCGGCCGACTTGGCCGACTTGAGCTTGGCGATCTCCGACTCAAGCTCCTGGATGCGCTTCTTCGCCTCGTCCTCCTTCGATTTGGCCCACGGCGGGCTCTCCGCCTTGTCCCGCACGCCGCGAGACGACCCCCCATCGGCTCGACGCGCTCCTTGAAACGGGCCGACTTCCACAACTTGCACAGCAGGCACTTCGCCGCGTCGGGAGCGGTTCACCAGGGGAGGCCCGTCCGATCGTTGGCGCAGCACTTGCAGACCCAGCGCCTCGCCTGCCGCCCTGCGCGCCGCGGCGGCGCCACGGCAGAACCTGCGTGGAGTGGACTGCGGCTCTCGACCCACTCGGTCCAGACACGGCATCCAAAGGGGGCCACTGGTCCCGCACTGGACAACGAGGGACCCCCGAGCAAGCTCGGGAAACAGGGCCATCCCATGCAGGCACGAGGGCGCGGATGCCCTCTCGTGCAGCCACCTTGAGCCAGAACGGCCACGAGGGAAAGGAGAGGGAGCGGGAGAGGGAGGGAGGGGCGACGGAGCAGGAGGATCAGCGGCAGCGGCGGCAGGGGGAGACGGGCCGCCACCCTCGGCCGCGCCGGGCCGAGGACTCCGAGCCGCGGGACGAGGAGGTCGAAGGGCGCGGGAAAACCAAGGCCCTCCTGCCAGGGCGGGGTTGAAGGCGACGGCGGCGACGAGTGCGAAGGGAAGGAGGAGGAGGAGGAAGAGGAGGAGGTAGGTAGGCAGGCAGGTAGGTAGGCAGGCAGGCAGGCAGGCAGGTAGGCAGGTAGGTGACATCCTGGAGAGGCGTGCATGTTGGGCCCGCGGGCTCGGGTCCTTGGGCGGTGGGTTGCAGGGCCCAGGCCGGCGTCTGCATCGGCACCGCAGCGTCTGCCCAGGGAAAGGGCGGCCTCTCCCGTGCAGGGGGGAGGGCGGGAGGGGGAGGACGGGAGGGGCGGCCTCGGCCTCCCGACCCGCGCCAGCCCGCTTCCTGGCCCCCAGCCCTTCCTGGCGACGGCACCTTGGCCCGCGGAGCGCACGCGGGGCAGGGGAGGAGGGGAAGGCCCGGGGAGAGGCTCCTTCCGGAGGCCTCTCCGGCAGGGACCCCCGCCCGCACTCGCCAACCGCCCCACGTCGACGCGGTAGGCAACTGCGGGACTGGGAGAGCGGAGGGCGCGGGGGCCACCCCTGGAGGCGAGGAAAAGCTCTGGCTCCCGTGCCCCGGTCGGTCTGGAAGGCCGACTCCTGGCTCCTCCCGCTCCGGGCAAGCCCCCCAGCGCAGCCGCCTCAGCATAGCTTGCCGCGCCAGGCCGCAGGCACGGGACCGTCTTGGCGCAGGGCTGTGGAGACTGCCTATACGGCGCGCTCGCGCGCGCAAGCACCTCCCAGGTCCTTGCAAGGGAGCACGCAGAGGCGCCCCGACAGGCGAGAGCCCGGCCGGCTACGGAGGTCGGGTGTTGCCAGAGGTGCCCATGGCCCAAGGTGGCAACACCCGACTTGGAGCTCTCCGGGGCTTCCTCATGCGTCCTTGGGGCCCCAAGGGACGCTCCCCAGGGCGGACAGGGGTCATCAAGAGAAGCATCGAGAAGGCCCCAAAAATCCCAGCAAGACCCCAGACGCAGGAACCTGCCAATCTGGGATGGGTGTGGGATTTTCGGTGGCCTCTCCGAGGCCTCCACGGGCCTCCAGGATTCCCAGGGAGCGCCCCAGGGGGCCCGAAAGAGGACACCAGAGGGCAGTTCCCCATCCTCCTCCGCGTTCGTCAGGCGAGGGAGCTCCAGGGGGGAGAGAGGGGAACAAGACATCTGAGAGCACACCAGACTCCCAAGACAAGCGGGCCGATGATCGAGCGCCCAGCCCGACCAAAGCCTGGCCCACCCGCCCAGCGTGCCCCACCCAAGCCCCTTTCGGCATCTACGCTTGCGCACTCCTGCCAGCAAGGTACCGCGGTTCTTCGCGAGGGGGGAGAATCCCCGCCTTTCCCCAAGATGCGTTCGGACTTAAATTTGGTCAGACGGTCGCGCCGCATCGCCAACACATCTCCGATTCGGCGCGACCCGCAACCCGATCCCGACGTCGCCGACGCATCGCCGATGAATCGGCCGCGCGGTGTGTTCCTCCAACCCTGTCTACTCCGACCCCGTTTGGGGGCCTCAAGGATCGCGCTGCTCGCGAGAGGACCTCTCCAGGGGAGGGACGCTTGAGTTTGCGAGCGGCAATCCGATCGCCGTCAGAAGCCGCGAGCAGTTGCGCACGCCCATACTCGCTGCGTCCGACGAAGACGCCAAGCGCCGCGTTACCCGCCGCGCATGCCTGCGCGAGCGCGCCGCGGACCAGCGTGCCCTTGACGGGAGCCGCCAGGCCAAGCGGCATCATTGAGGGCCTGCCGCAGTCGAATTCCCTCGCCGCAACTTATAGGCCAGCGGGGAGATGTTGCTGGCCCCATCATGGCCGGCAGCTCTTGACTGAGCTGGCCATCCGATTCGTAAAAAGTCTGATGTTTAACGAGTGGCCGTCCTGTGCGAGCGCTGATGACTGATTTGTATGAGAATGCACTTGCCTGTCGGGCGCGCGTGCTGGGCGGCGCCAGCGTTTTCCGAGGGGATGGAGCACCTTGACCGCCTGTTCCGCATCGCTGAGCGCATCATCATATTGACCATTTCGTAATCGCGTTTGTTATACTCCATTAGCTCGCGTATGGTCCAGCATGCTAATTCCAACGTTTCCTGTACAGGTTTCCTGGAGGTCCCGACAAATGTCCAGGGCCATTTGTTCCATGGCTCGTTCTTAGGCGACGGACCCGGAGCCCGCAAACATACTCAAGAGGCCAAGCAATCATTTCACGCTTGTGCTACCGCCACCGTGCTCGCGAAGCACCATCAAAAAGTGGCTCGCCGCCAACTGTTTGCGTCGCCCAGGGCAGGGCAGATCATTTTCCCTAGCGGACAACAGGAACACGATCATGTATATAGACACATGTCTATATATATATATATATATATATACACGTATAAGCATATGTGTACGCATATACCTACATACCTATTGCATACACTCATAAACATGTATCAAGTATGATGCCGCATACACTCGGGCCGAAGTATCAGATCGAGGTCGGTTCGGGGAGAGTACCCTTGTGTTCTTCGTGTCCATTGGATGGTCTTGCGCATCCTGGGGAGGGTACCCTGGGACGTGTTGCTTGTTTGGGCCGACGGAGGGTCTCGTGTTCGAAGGATGTCACTTTTGGCCGAGGTCCGACTGCACATGCATGCGCGTGTATGCACAAGCGTGCGCATGTACAGATGTACTGCTGTTTAAGTTGCTCGCATACGTATATATGCGTGTATGCACACAACCATTGCCGTGCGCATAGACTCATACATACGCATACGACGGCGCAAGGTTGTCGGCAGGTGTATACGAAATGCGTACTTGCATCGATAAGTTACCACACATGTTCTAAAAATGTTGATGCATGCATGCGGGCGGGCGCGCTCAATTTCACGTAAATGCCATACATAGTTTGTTTCAATGTCAGTTTCACATGCACATACGTCACTCGGAGTTAGGCAGGTACCCAAATCCGAATGCAATCACATGTGTCTAGATGTGAGTATGTATACAAAAATATACACATGTATGTGCGTCTACATATTGTTGCGCAAACGTGTGTGTGCACATACATGTGTTCACATTATACATTCAGTGTAACTGCATACGCGCACATGCACACATACACATATATATATATATATGTATACGATTACGTGTGTGTATATATGTGTGTGTGTTTCCACACATATGTATGCATGTAGAGAGCCAGCTTCAATTGGTACCCGATCTTGCACCTTACGGTGGGGGCTTGGTTTCTGACCCCCCTTTAAAGAGTTTGTTCAGGCGGCCAGCGACGGTGGATCGAGCTCGCATATGAAGTGGATGTTTTGCCGACGTCGGGTCTCAGGCGAGACTTTGTGGTGCCTCGTCGAGAGCCGCCGGAGCGTTTTAGAGCGCGTCCAAAAACCGTGGGGACGGCCTGTCTGAGAGCTCGCAGATCCTCCTCGATGCCCAGGAGTTTCCAGCTCTGGACGGCCTCCACGAGGCCCTAGATTGCCTCCGAGAGAGTCTTTGACGTGATTCCAAAAGAGTCTGGAGTGCCTCCAGCTGACTCTGGAGAACCTCCGACGTTTCTGGTGCCGAGTGCGCAAAACGATTGCAACCAATGACTTCTTGCATGCTAAGAGCAGTTGGTAGTTGTATAGAACCCCTTCCTGGCTCGTCTGAAAAGCTTGTTGATTACATGGGAACGCTATATCGTCATACTATGAGCCGTCTGAACGCGCAGAGCTTGAATCCCACTCGGAGCACTCCCCTTCCCCCTCAGAATTGCGAGCGTGGCGCAAGGATTGCCTTCAGCTACTGTTCATCCGTATTCCATCCCTCGTCCATTGGTGGCCAGATTAGTGGGTGGAATGTGGAAGGTAAAAACTAGTGATGCAGCAGACGGGGATGATTTTGCATAGCAGCTCATCACATATGAAGCGTCTCGAAGACAGGCGACATCTCTGCGCACCTATCACGGTGCCAGATGCCTGAGCAATCAGAGCAATCATCACGAATTCCAACCCGCAGCGTGCACAGCAAATAGTTAAGAGCAAGGCATTAGCAGCCCTCCTTCTTAGCGTTTTGGTCCCTGGCCACGGCAGCCATCATGCCCAGAGGCGAGTCGTTGATAGAGAGATTTCTGGCGCTCCAGATGCATTCCTCCTCCTCATCCTCCTCCTCCTCCACCCCTTCCTCCTCCTCCTCCTCCTCCTCATCATCATCATCATCATCCTCCTCATCCTCCTCCTCCTCCTCCTCCTCCTCCTCCTCCTCCTCCTCCTGCTCCTCCTCTTCCTCCTCCTCCTTCTCCTCCTCCTCCTCCTTCTCCTCCTCCTCCTCCTCCTCCTCCTCTCCTCCTCTTCCTCTTACCACCTCCAGCAGTACCTGCGAGCAGACCAGGACAGGTGCAGGATTCCTCAAGCACTGCGCTGGCTTGGCACACTGCCAGATGTGGTGCACCCTCCAGGGTAAACAATATGACCCTTTCGCATGACTTGGCTCGTCATTGCCTTGCTGGCGTAGCGCTCATGATGCAGGGAAGATGGCATTGCACACGGATCGGCGCTTTCTGTCGTATGCGTCAGGGTTGCGACAGGCAAGGTTGTGTGCGACTTTGAGCACCGCCAAAATTGACAGCACCCGAAGTTCGTTCCAAGCGGTCCCCCACCCAAGTACAAAGAAAGGCTCTAGAGCTGATTAGAAGACCACATGTAAGACAGCACCACGAATTCGTGAGAAGAAAGCACCTTGGGGCGGGGTCATCATCAGCAGCAGTACCATCGTTGTCGTCGTCATCGTCATCATCAACGTCGTCACCATCATCGTCACCATCACAATCAGCTTCATCACCATATCACCATCATGCTCGTCACTATCATCACTACCGTGGTTACCATCATAACCACTATCAGTGTCGTCGCCTGCCTCCTCATCCTCCTTCTCCTGTTTCTCCTCATCCTCCTCTTCATCTTCCTCCGTCCCCTCCACTCTTATCTTCCTCCCCGTCATATTCCAAGTCTTCCTCTTCCTCCTTCCCATCCATTTCCTCTCCCTCTCCTCATCTTTACACTCCATCTCCATTTCCATATCCCTCCCTCCTCCTCCTCCTCCTCCTCCTCCTCCTCCTCCTCCTCCTCCTCCTCCTCCTCCTCCTCCTCCTCCTCCTCCTCTTTGTCCTCCTGATCGTCATCGTCGTCCATATAGTCATCCCTCTTCTCCCCCTCCTTCGTCATCTTCGCATCCACTCATCCTCCTCCTCCTCCTCCTCCTCCTCCTCCTCCTCCTCCTCCTCCTCTGCCTCCTCCTTCTCCTCGTTCCATCGAACGGGCCTCCCCGTCAGGCCGTGCTGCCGAGCATCTGCGTGGCACAGCCGACGGACTTGTCCTCCTGGGACCGGCAGCGCTGGGAGGTGCAGAAGCGCTTCGCGGACCAGCGCAGCATGATCCTCGGCGACGGCGCCTGGTTCCCAGGCGCCTTGGGTCATCGCTTCACGTTCGAGGCGAAGACGGACAACGTGGACACGTTCCAAGCCTTCTGGCCGATCGAGCGTTTTTGCAAGGGCGCCCTCGAGGGCGCGAAGTTATTCGCGCTTCGCGGTTCGGCTCTGATTCCTCCTCATCCTCCTTTTCTCCCCTGGGAGGCGGCGCGGGAGCGCGAAGTTATTCGCACTTCGCGCTTCGCGCAGCGCGAAGTGCGAAGTTGGGAGCCCTTGTTTTGTTGGTCTCCAGGCGTGCTGGCCCGGGCTTCCCGCGAGGCCTCGGCCGAGGCCTCCGGCACGGCACCGGCGCCCGACGGGCGGCCACCTCTTGCTGCTCCGAGCACCAACGTCTTTTTTTGTGAAAGCCATCCCACCAGGAGCACGGTGCCAAGGACATCGATGTTCCTGGTCGCACCCCTCCTCCTCCTCCTCCTCCTCCTCCTCCTCCTCCTCCTCCTCCTCCTCCTCCTCCCCCTCCTCCTCCTCTTCCCCCTCCTCCTACTCCTCCTCCTGCTCCTCCTCGTCCTCCTCCTCCTCCTCCTTCTCCTCCTCCTCCTCCCTCTCCTCCGCATTGTTTTGCCAGTCGGCGCGGACGGTGGCCACCAGGAGGTCGGACCCCTCATGGGCCCTCCGCGCGTGGTTCTTTGACTTCGGCCCTGGGAGCCATCTTCGGGCCACGGCGTCGCCACGAGCAAGCCGGGACGAATCGCGGCCCCCAGAGGGGGAAGCGGTCGGGGCTTCCTGGAGCTCCTCGGGGGAGGGGAGACACCCTGAGATCCCACGCTGCGAAAGAAGGGCAACATCCGGCGACGAGCGAGGGGGGGAGATGAGAAGGAGAAGGCCTTCTCAGAAGGCAGCGGGGCTTATCAGAAGCCCTGCAGCCTTCTGAAAAGTTTTCTGCGTCATCGGGAAAGCTTCGAAAAGTTCTCAGAAGGCCGGGGGACTTCCGAGCCTTTTGAGAAGGCCCGCCCCTTCTCACTGCCCCCCTGGGCCCGCCGCCGAGCAACATCACGAAAAATCACCACTGGAGCCCCAGGCCACCTCTCGCTGCTGCATTCTCCAAACCAGATCGATGTGTGATGGCACTGGGGCCCGAAATCAGGCAAAACCGCCCGGCGTGAAGAAAATGCACGGCCAGGATCTCGGGGCAGAGGAGGGAGCGGAGCACCGCGAGATCCGATCCGCCCGGGAAGCCCAGGTTCATGGCGCTCGAGACGGTGCCCACCGTGCAGCTGCTGTACTTGGAGCCCAGAGCCCCCGACGCCGCTGTTTTTTTCTCATAACGGGGACCCCCCTTGCCTTAAGTCGGGCCTGTCCCTCTACAGGGGGAATATTCAAAAATAGCTATTGTTGTTTTACAGAAGAAAAATATCTGGAGACGATGTTTTGACTATGGTTGATCAGTTCGGGTGCATTTTCGGAGTATTTCTCATTTCTCGCCCAAAATCCGCCTGTCGGGGGACACGCCCCACCTGACATCACAGCATGCGCAACGGAGGCTCTCCACAGTCCTCGGCCTCCGGGGACCGTCGCCCGGCCCCGGGCCTCTCGAAGCAGGGCTCGGGAGGCAGAGAGCCGGCCCCAGAGGAAGGCGTCGGGCTCTCCACTGGCCCCGCCCAGAAAACTTGGCATCGCTCGGACGTGTGCAGTTTTTTCCTTCGGCGAGGACCATCGAGGAGCATCCTTGATCACTTGGCAAAAAAGCCACGCTCGAAACCGAAAAAAGCACAGGGAAGGGACGTCCGAGCGATGGCCAGAAAAATCCAAGACGCCTATGCGAACGCGTGCTTTGCCCAGCACGTGTACACACAGAGAGGTTACGGCCTCCACGCTCCGGCCCAGGGGGGCAAGGGCCCAGGTCCTGATGAGGGTGCGAATGCGAATGACCCCTTTTCCACCGACCAGTTTTTCATCCCGAGCCGTTCGTTGACGGTCCCAGGGCCCAGCGAGAGCCCCCAGAGGCCGAGCATTGCCAACGGTCTGAATTGTTCACGACGCCAGGTCGGGTGCTGCAAGAAGTGTCCCTGGCCCACGGTATCCCCAGGAATCCAAGGAGGCCCCTGCGGCCTCCAGAGCGCACACCTCACGAGACCCAGAGGGCCCCAGGGGGCTCCAAAATGAAGCCAAAAGCTGGGGGCACCTTGGGCCGGAAAGACTTGTAGCAACCCACGACCAAACCCTTGTTGGCCAAAAAGAATAGGCACTTGTCAAATACAGTACTCTACGAAGCCTGATCCTCGATGGCTGGTCTCGCCGACAAGATGTGGGAAATGCTTTTGGAGTTCTCTCGACGTCAGTCCCAGACATGCAACGATGATGTTTTTGTTTGTCCAGTGAGCGGCCCTGGAGGCCCCTACCGCTCCTCCACGGCAAGCTTTCTGCCCCAGATCCGTTTCTCGAGGGCCCCATGGGCCCGGCAGTTGGCCCCCAGAGACTCTGAAATCTGGGAAGAGCGCCGGGATTGAATCGGAGATTGATAGACTTCCTACCCTGACACGTCGATTGAGGAATTGGCCGCTTTGGGTTCGCGCGAGGGCGTCGCGGCCGTCATTTTCGCGGGTCCAGGTCCGTCGGTTTCGGTCCCAGGCCGTTTTCACTAAGGGGAGGTTTACTAAAGGGAGGTTTGTCCACCGCCGATTGAAAAAAACATCTCGTCGGAGATGTGGGTTTTCAATGCTTCGCGACGCTGGCTGGAGCCGCGATTCCGACTCGACTTGAAGCGCTTCGATCCCCTGGCATCGGCCAGGGCTGGCCACAGCCTGGGGCGGCGATCCGATTTCGATTCGATCCGTTGGGGATCCGATCCGATCCGTTTCCGACCCGACCCGATTTCGCGATTCGATGCAGCTCCTCCTCCTCCTCCTCCTCCTCCTCCTACTCCTCCTCCTCCTCCTCCTCCCTCCTCCTCCTCCTCCTCCTCCTCCTCCTCCTCCTCCTCCTCCTCCTCCTCCTCCTCCTCCTCCTCCTCCTCCTCCTCTCGGAGCGCTGTGGAACGGCCGCGTCGCCCGACCCGTCCTCCAGAGCCCCTGGGTCGCAGAGATCCCCGATGCTGTCCCGGTCGTGGCCTCGTCGTATCTGCCGGAGGCGGCCAAGAGGGGGTGATGATTGGGGGGGCGTTGATAACATGGCCACGGCCACGATATCTCCCAGATGTATGGCCCCCTCTTCTTCGTCTTTCAGGATGTCTCCTGGTCCCCCCTGGGCCGCGCACATGCCTCGGCCCATGGTTCGCGAACATCCCTCTTGGACGCCCCCCGAATCTGAAACAGGACTCGCTGTCGGCATTGCCGCAGACGTTGCCCACTCGAGACAGAAGGCCGCCTGCCCGGCAGCGGCCGCTGTCGGATTTGGATGACGTATGTTCAGGCGCGAGAGAACGGCGCACATGTGCATGAGTCCGCGTTGGCTTCGGAAGTGCGCAGCGCGCGCACGCTCGCGACACGAGGCTGTCCTCGCGGATTGGGGGGGCCCGTACTCACGTGCGCGGCTGGGCGCGTGCGTCCTCTGTGGGCTCCCGACGTCTCGGGCGCCTCCGCATGCGAGGTGCGCCTGGCTGCAGCTGCGACCGCTCGGGTTTCCTTTGCTGCTCCCGTCGCGGTCTTGGTCGCGCTATTTCGGTAGCCCTCCTGAGGGCAGCGGACTTCTGATTTCCTTTGCTTTGGGAGGGGAAGGCAAGGAAAGAAGAAGAAGAAGAAGAAGAACTGGCACAATGCCCAAGAACATATGTGGTCCAGAACCGACAGCGGCCGCTGGTGGGCAGGCGGCATGTTGTCTTCGGTGAACGACGTCCGCGGCGGCGCGGACAACGAGTCCTGTTCAAAATAAACAGGAACTGCTGTTGGGCATCGTACCAATTTTCGCCGTACCCATTTCGATCGTCCCGATCCGAGGAGCACGTCCTCCTCCCAGCGGGCAGCGGCGGCGGCGGGGCCTCGGACAGCAGCGGCTCGGAGGGCAGCGGCGACGAGGCGGGCGTGCTGCCGTGGAGCGCCGGGGCGGCCGCCGCGGGGCGCCGGCGCGGGAGGCGGCGCGGCGCGGGGGAGAAGCAGGCGCGATCGGCACGAAGCAAAGGGTCCTCCTCCTCCTCCTCCTCCTCCTCCTCCTCCTCCTCCTCCTCCTCCTCCTCCTCCTCCTCCTTCGCCGCGGCCTCCTCCTCCTCCTCCTCCTCCGCCGCCTCCTCCTTCTCCTCCGCCGCTGCCTCGTTGTAGATAGTTCTTCCCTGCCGCACCCCGAGGCTGGTCGAAAGGGCGGGTCAGGCGTTTCGCCCAAGACTTTCTCACCATTCATGGCCCTGAAGCTTAGAATCTGGCAACCGTTTCACACTTGGAGGGCGGGTCGCTTCCAAAATGTGGCTCTCGCCCTAGCGCCGTGCACATTCGTCTTGAAAATTGCAAGAGCTTCATGGCTTGAGGGCGGATCGTTTTCAAAATGTGGCTCTCGCCTCAGCGCCGCGCACAATCGTTTTCAAAAACCTGCAAGAGTTTCACGGATTGAGGTCGGGCCGTTTCAAAATGTAGTTCTCATTTCAGTGCCGCGCACATTCGTTGAAAAAATGTGCAAGAGCTTCACGGCTTGAGGGTGGGTCGTTTTCAAAATGTGGTCCTAACGTCAGTGGCGCGCACATTCGTTTCGGGGCTGCTGATGTTCAAAATGTGGCTCTAGCCCTGATTAGCGCCGCGCGCACTTTTTTGAAAATGTGCAAGAGCTTCACGGCTTGAGGGCGTTTCGTTTTCAAAATGTGGTTCTCGCCCTAGCGCCGCGCACACTCGGCTCAAGAATGTGCAAGAGTTTCATTGGTTCTCATTGCGTGTTGGAAAAGATTCAGGACTGTCAGGGCACAACAGTTACGTGGATTTCGCGATATTGAAGTGCCAGGATTCGTGTTCTGGCACGGATCAAGATCGCCAAGACGTAACAGTCAGGTTAATTTGTGGCGCTGAAGTCCTGAGAATGGTATTTGGGCGCGCTTCAAGATATTCACACGGTTGTCCCCCGACGGAGCAATTCCCTCAGTGGAAAATGGCCTTTTGCTGGGGCCTATGAAGAGGGATCTCGGAGAGAGGGTGTATTTCAACATCGTTGATGAGTCTTGGGTTTGCACTGGTCCTCCTCCTCCTCCTCCTCCTCCTCCTCCTCCTCCTCCTCCTCCTCCTCCTCCTCCTCCTCCTCCTCCTCCTCCTCCTCCTCCTCCTCCTCCTCCTACTCCTCCTCCTCCTCCTCCTCCTCCTCCTCCTCCCCTCCCCTCCTCCTCCTCCTCCTCCTCCTCCTCCTCCTCCTCCTCCTCCTCCTCCTCCTCCTCCTCCCTCCTCCTCCTCCTCCTCCCTCTCGACACCAAACGAAAGGACGGCTGGCACCTCGCGCGCGGCGGTCGCGAGCTCGCGAGGCCTCCAGCGGCCGTGTGGCCCCACTTGGGGGGCAGATGGATACCGACACCGCTGCTCCCGGATCACCTCTCGAGGGAGCGCCAGCACGGACGAAGGTGCGCCGATGCGTCGCCCCCTGAGCCCATGCCCCCCCCCCCCCCCCCAACACGACGCTGCCCCCGGCCCCCTCCCGCCGGGCCGCGCGGCCGAGCCCTGCCTCCTGGCCAGCGCCGCTCTGGCGCAGCGCCTCCCCGCCGAGAGCTCTTGGCAGGAGGGGCGGCTGCGGCGGGGTGGGGCGCCCGGCGCGCGCGCGCGCACGGATCGGGGACGGGCCCCCGTTCCCACACAGAGTCGGCGCGCTCCGTGGCCAAGTCGGGCGGCGCTGTTCGGAGTCCAGGGAGGGTGTGGTCGGCGTGCGGGTCGGCCGATCCCCCCCGCCGAGTGCTGGCCAGGAGGCCCGAGTGGTGACCTGATGGTTCTGGAGGTAGGACAAGGGGTGTGGGGCAACAGGGTGTGGTGCAAATGGCATGTAAGAGGGGATCTGGCGATGTTGTCGATCGTTGGTAGCATCGCCACTTCCACGATTGGCACCACACGCCATCGGCGTGAGGTAAACCCAGACTTCCAACGCATTGAAGAGTTCAAGACTAAGGTTTTTCGGCGCTTTGGGCCTCTGAGGGCCTTTGCAGGGCCCTGGGGGTCGAGACGTCCAGGAACCCCGAAGCGTCGCCAAAAAAAAACATGGCGAGATGTGTTCAGCATTTCTCGGCCTTTGGAGGGGGGCCCTTCCACCAAAAAGCGATTCAGGATGAGAAACGTGTCCCTGGGGAGGGGTCCAGACTCTGTGGGGCCCACGTCGTGAAAGAATCGTGAAATCGGAGGGCTGGGACGGGGCCCCGGAGGATCGAAGATCACAGATCTCCGACAACGTAATGTCTTCGATCCCGGCGGCGTGTTCTTAACCCGATTTCGGCCGCAGGTGCCCGTTGTCGCCGCCGGCCATGAAGTGCGCCCCCCCCTCTTGGACGACCCCCTCGTTGGCCGCCCCCGACACTTCCCCAAAGGGATTCTAGGACACCCGCGGGGGCGGGAAGATCCTCGCGCTTCGCGCGGCGCGGCCTGGGCCAGAGCGGCCGCCCTTCTACAGATGGGGAGGAGGGGGGGGGGGGGGGCACGAGGGCGCGAGGGCGCGAAGATTACCCCGCATGCGCGAATGTAGGTGGCCTGGGGAGATCACATCGCCGGAGAGTCTGGGCCCGTTTCTCCTCCTCCTCCTCCTCCTCCTATCCTCCTCCTCCTCCTCCTCCTCCTCCTCCTCCTCCTCCTCCTCCTCCTCCTCCTCCTCCTCCTCCTCCTCCTCCTCCTCCTCCTCCTCCTCCTCCTCCTCCTCCCTCCTCCTCCTCCTCCTCCTCCTCCTCCTCTCCTCCTCCTCCTCCTCCTCCTCCTCCTCCTCCTCCTCCTCCTCCCTCTTCTCCTCCTCCTCTTCCTCCTCCTCCTCCTCCTCCTCCTCCTCCTCCTCCTCCTCCTCCTCCTCCTCCTCCTCCTCCTCTCCTTTGCTTTATAGGTAACTTCTCCCTGTCGCACCCCGAGGCCAGTTTTTAGGGCGGGTCGGGCGTTTCGCCTGAGACTTCCTCACCATTCATGGTTCTAAAGCTTAAGAATTGGCAACAGCTTCACATATGGAGGGTGGGTCGTTTTCGAGATGTGGCTCTCGCCGTAGCGCCGCGCACATTCGTTCTAACATATTGCAAGAGCTTCACGGATTTAGGATCACCCGTTTTTTTATGTGACGCTCGCTTCAGCGCCGCGCACATTCGTTCCAAACATGTGCAAGGGCTTCACGGATTGAGGAGAACCCGTTTTCAAAATGTGGTTCTCGCCTTAGCGCCGCGCACTTTCGCTCTTAAAAACTGAAAGAGCTTCACGGATTGAAGGTGGCTCTTTTTCAAAATGTGGCTCTCGCCTTAGCGCCGCGCACATTCGTTCATACAAATTGCAAGGGTTTCACGGATTCACACGATCAACGTACCAGAAATGGTGTTTTGGAAGGGTTCTGGACTTTGTGGGTGCAACAGTTACGTTGGTTGTCGGTGTCGAAATCCCAAGAATGGCTTTTTTGCCACGATCCAGGATCGTCAAGACGCAACAATCAGGTTGATCCGTGGCGATGGAATCCCGAGAACAATGTTTTGGCATGCTTCTGGGTGTTCAAACGGTTGTCTTCCAACGAGGCAGATCCCCCGATGGAAATGAACCGTTGCACGGGCCTATGAAGAGGTAGCTTGGAGGGAGAGTGGATTCCAACATCGTTGATGGCTCTTCGGTTTACACTGGTCCTCCTCCTCCTCCTCCTCCTCCTCCTCCTCCTCCTCCTCCTCCTCCTCCTCCTCCTCTCCTCTCTTCCTACTCCTACACCTCCTCCTCCTCCTCCTCCTCCTCCTCCTCCTCCTCCTCCTCCTCCTCCTCCTCCTCCTCCTCCTCCTCCTCCTCCTCCTCCTCCCGCCCCTCCTCCTCCTCCTCGTCCTTCTCCTCCTCCTCCTCCTCCCTCCTCCTCCTCCTCCTCCTCCTCCTCCTCCTTTTCCTCCTCCTCCTCCTCCGCCTCCTCCGCCTCCTCCTCCTCCTCCTCCTCCTCCTCCTCCTCCTCCTCCTCCTCCTCCTTTCAGCGCCAGCTCGGCCCGAGCCGTGTGCTCGCCGAGCCAGCGCCACTGGCGCCCTCGGAGCTCCGCCCCGTCCCCGTCCCTCCCCCCCCGCTTCTGCGCCTCCTCGCCAACCCAGGGCGCTGAGGGGGGCGTGCCCGAGGCGCCGCCGCCGCCTCAACCGCTCGGCCGCGGAGCGGAGGGCGCAATGCCGCCGCGCCTAGGGGCGGGCGGTAGGGCGAATCCTCGCGGTGTGCGCCGAGCTGCGCGGCCATCGAGGTGAGCCCGGACCCCCGTCGGCCACGACGAGGAAAGCGAGGAGGAGACGGGATGAGGAGCCGATCGAGGTCGTGGCGACGGCGCGGAGGACGGCAGCTCGGCGGCGGGGTTGCAGCGGGCCCGCGCGCGCGACCCCGACCCCGCCAACGAGGCCGAGGCCGCCGCTCGATCCTCAGCAGCGGGCGCGGGCCAAGGTGCTTCGCGAGCATCGGTCCCTGGCGGCCGCCATGACCGAGCTGCGCGCGGCCGAGGCGGCGCCGGCAGCTGCGGGGCTTCCCGCCCCAGGACCACCTCGGCATCTTGGATGAGGTCGTCATTCTCTGGGTGCTGCTGGGAGCGGCGTGGGCGGCCTCTGGGCCGCGACCGCGCTGCCTCGGGGACGCCGCTCCTCTCGCCTTCCTGGCGCTGCGCAAGATTTTGGGCGAGCAGCCTGGCAGCCAGCGCGAGGACGCCTCCGAGGGGGGGTCAGTACCGCTGAGAGCTCCTGGTGGGGAGCAGGGTGAGTACACTTCTGCGGGAGGTGAGTGCCCCATCCCCCGGACCATGGGGAGAGCTCCCAGGGGGGAGCAGCTGGCAGCGTGGGGCGCTTGCGAGTTTTGTTCCTCGCGCTCGTGGGCCAGGTCGTGGACCTGTTCCTGGGTTCGAGCACCCTTTCGCCGCCTCGCTGAAGGTGCCGATCCGCCCCTGCGAGCGGCCGAGGGCGCCCGCCGCTTCGATGGAGGGATGCGTCTTGGTTGCATTATCAGTCTCGTGTTCATTATCATTATCCTTCTCCTCATCATAGCCATAATTCTCATCATCAGCATCATCATCATCATCCTCATCCTCATCCTCCTCCTCATTTGTATATTCCTCCTCCTCGTCCTCTTCCTCCTCCTCCTCCGACTCCGACTCCGACTCCTACTCCAATGTTTACTCCTATTCCTGCTCGTTTCCCTACTCCCCCTCATCCCTCCCCCCCCTCTCCCCCCCCCTATCCCTCCACCTCCTCCGACCCGCGCCGGCAGGCGAGCCCCACGGTGATGCTGCCGCGCCTGTTGCTGCCCAGCGGCAGCTGAGGCGGCCGCCCACTCCGCGCGGGGCGCTGGTCGGCCCTCGCGGCGGCGCGGCCGCGAGGCCTTTCGCCGGCGCTGAGGAAGTCGGCGCCAGCACCGCTCAGGCCTCCAAATGGGCTGCCCCAGCAAGGGCCTCGCCTTCGGGGAAGCGAATCGGCTAGACGTGAAAGTGACCTTTCGCAGGAGTGACCTTTGGTGCGGGCCCAGATGGGTCCCCCAATCGCCGAGCGCGCTGCGGTATCAGCGGCTTGCGCGCTCGGGTTTGGCTCCCCCGCGCCCCCCTTATGCCTCGCACCAAAGGTCACTATTACCCAGGGTCACTCTTGCGTATAGCCGAGCGAAGGAGTTGGCATCTCTTCGGCGGAAGGCCTGCGGAAGCCGGCGGAAGAAAGACGAGGGCGGTTCCCCCAGCGGAAGGCCAGCGAAGGATCGCGGAAGCAAATCCAGCCTCCGAATAGGTGTCATCATTTTTTGGTTGGGGGTTTCCTAGGTCGGCCAAGTGTCGCCAGAGTGGTTGCGGTCGGAGGACCACGCCGCATCGCCGATGCACCGGCGATGCGGCTCGATTGGGAGCCCGATTTTCTCCACGCCAGAGTCGCCGACACATCGGCGATGTGGCGCTGCGGCGCGATCCTCCGACCCCATTTTCCTGGACCTTGTTTCGGAGCCCTCTGCACCAGGATCCCGTGGCTCAAATTATCATCAACGTCTCAGCATAAGCGGACCTGTATGTGTTGGCGCCGAGGTCCGACGTCCTGCCGTACAATTCCGTGGCAGCCCAGACATTCAGCAGGTCTGGTGCCCGTTTATCGCAGCCGCTGCGGCGCCCTTGCAGACGTCACACCTTCCCAGACCTTCAACGCACTAAAAAACAGCACGACGCTGGTGAACAGCTTGGACCTCTGGGAGCCTTCTCCAACCCCAGGACTGTGAAAGATCTACTCGGGATGGAAAATGGTTTTGGGGAAAGGGTCGGGATTTCTGAACACCCCGTGTTGAAAAAATGATACGTCGGATAGTTGGGTCTGAGCTCGCAAATGACATTGTGATGATGCTGGTCATGGTGGCGTGGTGCGCTGGCGGTAACAGCAATTGTGATGGCGACGAGGTTTGCGCAGAGGTGGCGGCGATGATGTGAATGGTGACGGTCGTTATTGGCAGTGCAGTCGTTACGTGGTGCATGTACTGCACTTTCAGCGGAGTCGTTCGGTGGCGCTGCCCAGGATGGACAAGGCGGCCACAACGCGAGCGGGGGGGCTCAAAGCCAGTCAGTAGAGGTTGCGGCCCCGGACGCTTGTAATTTCACAGGCGGCAGTAATGGGGCGAGTAGAAGCAAAGACTGGGAGCACAGAGTTGGGGTGGCATGGGGCGAAGCACGAGGGGCTGCGTAGGCTGGGTGCGTCGAGGAGGGGAGGGGCGGGGCATGGAGGGACCAGCCGAAGGCTGACCCTCCTTCGTCGGCGCGCGCTGGTGGCCGCCGCTGGCCTCCTGAAAAGCTGGAGGCCCGTCGGTGAATAGCGCGGGCGCTGCGCAGACGGAGGCCGCGTGTAGGCGTCAAGAAAGGTCACTGCTCTCTGGGGCGTGCGGATGCAGTACGATGCGTTGTGGGGGGGGGGGGGCACTGGATCCAGCACCTCCCCCCCTTGTGAGGGCGAGACCGCCCCGCGGCCCGTCCTCCAACAGAACAGAGGGATAAAGGGGGGGGGGGCGAAGGAGGATGATGAGGGGCGGAGGAGGAGGAGGAGGAGGAGGAGGAGGAGGAGGATAAGATGGAGGAGGAGGAGGAGGAGGAGGAGGAGGCGGAGGAGGAGGAGGAGGAGGAGGTGGACGACGACGACGACGACGACGACGAGGAGGAGGAGGAGGAGGAGGAGGAGGAGGGAGGAGGAGGAGGAGGAGGAGGAGGAGGAGGAGGAGGAGGCCCCAGGCGCTGGCGCGTGGCTCCAGGCGCTCTCCTGCGAGGCCACTGGCATCGCTTTCCCAGACGGCCTCATGCAGGTTTCCCTGTAGAGGAGCGCTGCGAGACCAGCTCCTGGAAGGGAAATGTTGTTGCCCACCATGTGACAACAAGTTGATGGACGGTTTCAGCGACCACGCCCTGGTCTGCCCCTGCCGCGGCGACTGGACCAAGCGCCCTTGGCCGCTGGCCACGCTGGAGTGAAGTTGGAGCGCCCGGGGCTGCTACCCCCGCGCCCCGCCGGGGAGGCCACCCCTGGCGGCGAGCTGGGCGGGCCCAGAGTAGACGTCAACGACCGCCGCACCGCCGCACCTGCCCCGGCGGTGGAGACGCAAGGCGGTTGCCCAGGATTTTGCCGCCACGCCTGCGATACGCGCCGACCTCCTCGCCGCACCAGCTGCTTCGTCAAGCGCGCTGACGGAGCGGCACGACGAGTTCGAAAGAAAGCATCAGGACACCGCGCCGCGACCACCTCGCCTCTCTCTTTTTTGTTATCTCTCTCTCTCTCTCTCTCTCCCTTTTCCTTCATCTTTCTCGTCCTCCTCCTCCTCCTCTTCCTCCTCCTCCTCCTTCTCCTCCTCCTCCTCCTCCTCTTCCTATCCTCCTCCTATCCTCCTCCTATCCTCCTCTTATCCTCCTCCTCCTCCTCCTCCTCCTCCTCCTCCTCCTCCTCCTCCTCCTCCTCCTCCTCCTCCTCCTCCACCTCCACCGCCTCCTCCTCTCCTCCGCCTCCGCCTCCGCCTCCGCCTCCGTCTTCGCCTCCGTCTCCGCCTCCGCCTCCGCTCCGCCTCCGCCTCCGCCTCCGCCTCCCTCCCTCCCTCCCTCCCTCCCTCCCTCCCTCCTCCCTCCTCCCTCCTCCTCCTCCTCCTCCTCCTCCTCCTCCTCCTCCTCCTCCTCCTCCTCCTCCTCCTCCTCCTCCTCCTCCTCCTCCTCCTCCTCCTCCTCCCCCGTCCTGCCTTCCTCAGCCAGAGCCGAGGAGAAGGCTGCAGCCCAGGGAAACGCCAGGCCGAAGCATGACTTCCCAGCGGCCCCCTGAGACACTGCGCACGTGATGAGCGCATTGGCGTCGTCTGGTCGTCGACGTCGTCGTTGGCACTGTCGGGCGCGGAAACGGCCAGCAGGCGCAAGTCCTCACTACGTAAATGGTTCCGCGAGACATGCGTTGCGCCCCGCGAGAGGCAGGGCCTCGCAGGCGGGGTGTCTCGGTGCATCCCTCTCACACTATGCTGTGGTGGGAGGTGGGGGCTGGGAACGCAGAAGGAGCTGAATTTTCGCCTGTTCGGGGCGCGAGGGTCTTGACAGTGTCCACTTCCGCGCGACGGGCACGCTGGTCAAGGGTTGCGAGCCCCTCACACGCATGGGGCTCAGGTACCTAAGGGTTCTGGAGAAGGGACGTGCCCCAGGCCACACTAAGTTGGCCAAACACGTCGACGTCCTCAGGTGATCGTAGTGGGAGCGCGAAACGCGGAGGTTGATCTAATATTTTCCTCCTCCTCCTCCTCCTCCTCCTCCTCCTCCTCCTCCTCCTCCTCCTCATGTTCCTCTATTCCTCCTCCTCCGCCTCCTCCTCCTCCTCTTCCCCCTCATCCTACTCTTCATCCTGCTCCTCCTCCGTTTCCTCCTCCCCCGCTTCTTCCTCTTCTTCCTCATCCTCCTCCTCATATTCCTCCTCCTCCTCCTCCTCCTCATCATCATCATCATCATCATCATCATCATCATCATCATCATCATCATCATCATCATCATCATCTTCCTCTTCCTCTTCCTCCTCTTCTTCTTTCTCCTCCTTCTCCTCCTCCTCATATGTTTCCTCCTCATCATCATATTCCTCCTCCTCCACCGCACCCTCCTCCTCTTCCTCCTCCTCCCCCTGCATCCCCTCCTATTCCCCATGTGCCGTTTCCTCCTGCTCTTCCTCTTCATCCTCCTCCTCCTCCTCCTCCTCCTCCTCCTCCTCCTCCTCCCCCTCCGCCTCCTCTTCCTCCTTCTCCTCATCCTCATCCTCCTCCGCCTCCTCCTCTTCCTCCTCCTCCTGCTCCTCCTCATACTCATCCTATTCATCATCATCCTCCTCCTCCACCGCCTCCTCCTCATCTTCCTCCTCCTCCCTTTCCTCCCCTCCTATTCCCCCGTTGCCTCTTCCTCCTCCTCCTCCTCCTCCTCCTCCTGCTCCTCCCCATCCTCCTATTCCTCCTCCTCCTTCTCCTCTTCCTCCTCCTCCACCCCCTCCTCCTCCTCCTTCTCCTCATCGTCCTCCTCCTCCGCCTCCTCCTCTTCCTCCTCATCCTCCTCTTCCTCATGCTCCTCCTGTTCCTCCTCCGCCGCCTCTTCCTCCTCCTCCTCCTCATCGTCCTCCTCCTCCTCTCCCGTTTCCTCTTCCTCCTCTTCTTCTTCATCTTCCTCTTTCTCTTTTTCTTTCTCCTCCTCCTCCCTCCTCCTCCTCCTCCTCCTCCTCCTCCTCCTCCTCCTCCTCCTCCTCCCCCTCATCCTCCTGCTCCTCCTCCTCCTCCTCCTCCTCATCCTCCTCCTCATATTCCTCCTCATCCTCCTCCTCCACCGCCTCCTCCTCCTCCTCCTCCTCCCCCTCCTCCCCTCATATTCCCCCTTTGCCTCTTCCTCTTCATCCTCCTCCTCCTCCTCCTCATCCTCCTCCTCCTGCTCCTCCTCTCCTCCTCTTCCTCCTCCTCCTCTCCTCCTCCTCCTCCTCCCTCCTCCTCCTCCTCCTCCTCCTCCTCCTCCTCCTCCTCTTTCTCCTCCTCCTCCTCCTCCTTCTCCTCCTCCTCCTCCGCCTCCCCCTCCTCCTCCCTGTCCTTATAAATAAGTTCATCCTGGCGCACCCTGGGGCCCGTTTTTACGGCGGGCGGGGCGTTTCGCCTGAGGTTTTCTGATGATTTATGACTCTGTAGTTTCAAAATTGGCAACAGCGTCACAGATGGAGGGCGGGTGGTTTAAAAAAATGTGGCTCTCGCCTTAGCGCGGCGCCACTTCGTTTTAAAATGCTGCAACAGATTCACAGATGGAGGACGGGTGGTTTTCAAAATGTGGCTGTCGCCTTAGCGCGGCGCACATTCGTTTCAAAACGTTGCGAGAGTTTCATGGATTGAGGGCGAGTGGTTTTCAAAGTGTGGTTCTCGCTTCAGCGCGGCGCACATTAGTTTTAAGAAATTGCAAGAGCTTCACAGATGGAGGGCAGGTGGTTTTCAATATGTGGTTCTCGCTTTAGCGCGGCGAACATTCGTTTCAAAAAATTGCAAGAGGTTCACGGATTGAGGGCGGTTCCTTTTCAAAATGTGGTTCTCGCCTTAGCGCCGCGCACACTGTTGCACAAAATGTCCAAGATTTTCACGGATTTTCATCATCATCATACCACACATGGCGCTTTGGAAGGATTCCGGATTATGCGGGTGCAACAGCTACGTTGATTTTCTATGGCGCTACAGTTGAAGTCCTAGGAATGGCATTATGATAAGATTCAGGGCCGTCAACACGCAACAGTCAGGTTGATCCGTGGCGTTGGAATCCCGAGAACAATGTGTTGGCATGCTTCAGGGTCTTCAAACGGGTGTTTTCAAACGAACCAGTTCCCTCAATGGAAATGAACCGTTGTCGGGGCCTATGAAAAGGGAGCTTGGAAGGAGGGCTTCCTCCAGCATCGTTGATGACTCTTGGGTTACACTGGTCCTCCTCCTCATCCTCCTCCTTCTCCTCCTCCTTCTTTCCTCCTCCTCCTCCTTCTCCTCCTCCTCCTCCTCCTCCTCCTCTTCCTCGTCCTCCTCCTCGTCCTCCTCCTCCTTCTCCTCCTCCTCCTCCTCCGCCTCTTCCTCCTCCTCCACCGCCTCCTCCTCCTTCTCCTCCCCCTCCTCACCCTCATCCTCATATTCGTCCTCCTCCTCCTCCTCCTCCTCCTCTATCTCCGCCTCCTCCTCCTCCTGCTCCGCCCCTTCTTTTCCTCTGCATAGAAACGCCTGGACAATAATTGTCAGGGATACTTCGTGGTGCCATGTTGTGAATGCCCTGCGTCACTCCCCCAGGCCAGTTGCAAGTCCTATTGCAGGTCTGTTTTTCCAGAGTTTTGGGCTTGCTTGTTGCAGGCTGGTTTGGGCAGAGTTCTTGGGCTGCCTGGCGACATTCTAGCTCACACTGTGGTCTTGCATTGTCGAGGTGTCGAACGCTGGTGACCGCGCGCTCCCTCCTCTTCCTCTGGACAAAAAGCGCCGAGCTGAGTTTCATATTCCCCCCCGTGGCGGAAGACGTCGCTCTGGTGGCGGACCAACGCGCAACGGTTCTCCATCTCCTGGAGAGCGCGCGGGCGGCGCTGCGGCGCCTCCAGGCACAGTCTGGAGGGACGGGGGCGGCCTCCGCGGCGAAGGCTGTGCGAGGCACGCCGGGCGCTGCCTCGCGCCCCCTGCCCGCAACTGGGCAGAATCAGCGCCACGTTCCCCCAGGGGGAATGGAAGGCTGGGTTCTGGCGGGGCGGGAAGCGCACCCGAAAAGGCCCCTGCCGACCAAGCCACAAAGCGGCAGGCCCATTTCCCACGGGCCGCCAGCGGGCAGGTTCCAGTAGGCAGAGGCAACATATCGTCAGCCGGCGCCGAGGGGCCAGCTACGGCGGTCACAACCCACCACGTCCACCAGCGACGGAGGTCCACGGACGAGGAACCCTGCTCCGCGCGAGAGGGCCAGACACTGGGAGACCACGCAGAGAGGCGTGCAGTGAGCGAGAGGTCCAATACACCTTCATAGTGATTTCAGCGATCGCCGACGTACTCAGACGCACCTCCCCGCCCCATCTTGCAACCGACTTTACTGATCTCCAGAGCCAGGATAGTCTCACCCAGCAGCCATCATGGCACTCGAACCTACCCCCCAGGACGCATGGAGCGATCGAGCGGACACACGCATACACCAACGGCGCCCACCAGAATGACTCTAGTAAAGTTGCATGTGTTGTGGTGACCACTAACGAGGACGAAAACGGCATCGCTTACGTCGGCAACATGGCAGCCAAAGTCGCGGACGCCACTTGAACTTGCACAGAAGAGGTTACATCGACTACCTCAGAGCTGACGGCACTCACCTAGACATGCGCATGGATTTACAGCCAGGCACCGACATGAAACAACGCGCCAGCGACGGCCCATACTGACTCAAAAGTTGCCACTGGATTGGCCAAAGGCAGATAAATACCACAACAAGTACGACATCGTCGCTCTCAACCACCAACTACACCAGCTAGCATCGACCTCCACCCAACTCCACACCGACCACGTTTACGCTCACAACGGACACCCTTGGAACGAGCTGGCCGATTCCCTCGCAAAGAGCAGAGCCTACGAGACGACGCAAGCCCCTTTACCAGAATGGGCCGATGAATTCGACGCCGAGCGCAGCAAGCAAGCGACAATACCCGAAGGGCATGCCCCGACCTCACCGACCACGGCTGGAGCACTGGAGCGCCTTCAGTCACAGCTACACCCGGGTGCCCCGAAACCCGACAGGAGCAAGCCAGCAAGAAAGCCACCGTCACATTCAGAGGCATGACCGTCAACGTTCGAGGCTTCACAGAGCCAACCGACACAGCAAGGGAGCAGCACAGGAGGCCAACGAGGGCAGAGGCCACCAGCCACCAGCTGAAGCACACGAGCACCCACATCGTCGGCGCGAAGGAGACCAGACTGCCGCAAAAAACGACCAGAATGCGCAAGCTGCACGTACCCCCAAGTGGGTACGACACTCCAAGCTAGGATGCTACAAGGGAATGCAGGGGCGCCACAAGTACTTAACAGAGAGGTAGCAAGAAGGACTGCATCGACTACGTGATCATCCCAACCAGCAACATGGACACTGTGACGGATATAGCTACGATTGATGACATTACATGGCACAGAAGGATGAGGAGCACCTACCTGTCATGACGCACCAGACCTACATGGTTGCGTTTCACACCAAGCGCGCCGCACCGCGACTGGGCCAAAGAAAGGATCACCAACCCAACCGACGAGAATAGATTCCGGGAAGAGCTGGACAACATCCATTCGTACCTTTGGGACTTCGACATCAACGTCCACACCTTCGATCTGAATCGAATCAGAAAGTCGGAGATGCCGCCGAGAAAGGCTACAAGCAGGAGGCGGCAGGAGGCGGTCAGGATACGCAAGCCGCACATCACCGACGCCACCTTCGCGCTGCTGCGACCACGACGGGCGCACCAGAGACCGCGCCGCGCATGGAACGACGCCCCACAATCCACCCGCGCTCGAATTTTGACAGCCAGATTGGCCCACCAACTCAAAGAGGCATCGATTCGATCCCCACAATAACCGCTAAAGATGCCATGGACGATTCGTCCACGCTGATGGTCAACCGGATTGGATCAGACGCGCGCGCGGCACGACTCCAAGGCGAACACGAGGAGCTGCAACTCGTCATCAACGCGCCCCTACAACAGCGCAGCACGCAGCTAACACGCAGGATGCGCGCCGGCAAGGAGGCGCACCTCGAAGGGCACTCGGACGACACCCACAATGCGAAGAGTCTTCAGGACAACGATGCAGAATGAGAAGGAATAACATCTGCTACGCATTGGGGGATGGCCACCACGCATGATTACGGAGCACCGTGACACACTTGACGCCACCGGCGACCCTATCACCAGCGAGCAAGCCCAAGCAGAGGCCGAGCTGGACAATTTCGCCATAGCCGACCACGCCAAGTTCCGCGAACTTGAGGGCGCCGCCAATATCTACAGCAAGAAAGCTGAAGCGGCCATCTTGCCCAGCACCAACCAGGAGACCCCCTTATCACGAATATCATCACCAAGAGCGAATTGACTGCCAGTTTTCACGCTGCTAAGCCCCACCGACAAGGAGGCCCCGATTACAGCACGAACGATATGCGCCGCACCGCCAGCGAGGAGATGGCCCGCATTCACCACCCATTGATCGTCGAGTCGCACATGGCTACAGATGAACCAGTATCACACACAGGAGGATGGCGGGCATCCTTCGCCGAGAACGGTGCGAACAGCATGCCGCTCAGCGAGCGACGCATGATACGATTGAACACTTCTGTCGCCAAGCATCACCACCGGCATCTGGGAACACAGCTCCAACAGATCACTATTACAGTGTTACGTGACGCAAACCTCACCTACATCAAGGACGGCTGCTTGCTATCCCTGGATTTGCAGGGTGCCTTCTACACAGCAGTTCTAACTCCTTCCCATGCTACTTACAGACGAAGATGAACTGCGCGAGTTACTGGACAGCATGATAGCGTCACCATTGACACAACCGCCCCTGGAAGGAGCATTGCAAGGCATGCCACGCATCGACAAGAACATCGACGACAAGCACTTGGTCGCTTGACTTAGAGACGCCCATACCGACCTCTGGATAACAACCAGAGGATCGATTCGCATAGCTCAACCATGTACGGGTGCGCGACCAGGAGTGCTCATGTCGGACTTTTCATTCAACGTCGCCTTCGCGTGGATCACCAAGGCCACTGCCGCGGACATGATCGAGCAGGGACTCCAGTACGACATCGATCACGACAACAATGTGCAGCTGACCTTTCCTCAAGGACGCCCAGCAAGCCATGAACATGACGGCGAGGGCAAAACGCCCGCCGACGCATCACTCGTTGACGATACGATTGCATACGCCGCCACAATTCCACAGCAGGCGACCAACACAGCGACAACATTGTTACAGATAGTAGAATCCAAAGTAAGAGTGCATGACATGCGACTCCTCAGATCAAGATTATGCCACTGCCGTTTTGGCAAACGATCCAGGACTACAAGAGAGCACATGGCCAAGGAGGGCATCAACAGCATACCCAGCACCTACACCGACCAGACGGTGGAACCGGTCGATTCTCAGACGGCCTCTGGCACAGTTACAGCATCTACGGTAGTTGCGGGGCCAGAGACCAGGAAAAGAACCAACAAGGCGATGGTTAGCCGAAGACCCCCACGCAAGCATATATCCCAACGACAGCATATCCCTACCAACAAGACTGCATTCTACAACGTCTCTCTCGCACTCCCCATTTCAACCTACAACGACCATCTTTGGAGCAACTTCACGGGGACAGATCAGGTGGCCATTACGGTAGAGTACATGAAAGGCTGCCGACAAGCTACCAAACACCACGCCATTGACAGCAGACCTCCAAGGAATGCAACCTGAAGGTGCTCGCGGACGCCAACGGGGGGCCACGCGGCGCGGCACGACGAGCCAGGAGACAGCGATACCACTACGCCAATTGCTCCACGGGCCCACAGCACTGTTGAGGCCACTTGATCAAGATCTTCACCACGACCCAAGCTGGGCCAGCACGTTCACGGAGGACACATACTGGATGTAGAGCTACTTGCATACCAACGAGCAACCCACAGAGTCAACCGACATGCAAGAGAGATTACGAGCAGCTCGGAGCGAACCCAACAGGTCCAAAACAATCGCTAAGACTGTTCTCACCAGGTACGCACGACGACCAGCAGACAAAGCCCACCAGGAGCAATGGTACGACGCCCTCGAGCCTTACCAAAGCATTGTCGGTACGCCACCAGCACCGACCATATATCCACCACCACCAAATACCAGTTTCCCGCGTTACCAGTGTGGAGCAGCGTTCCTCGCGAAGAAGAACGCCCACGACGCCCACGCAGGGAAATATCGTAAAAGTGGGACACACCCATACGCATGGCATGCAGCAACCAGTACCATACTCACGCAAGGCCCGCTACACCTCCAAGCCACCCCATCGCGCGCGGTTCCTTGGATGACAGCAGCACCACCGTCCAACGACGAAGAGACCCAAGAGACCATACAATTGACCCTACAGAGCAACATCAATGCAGAATGACCACCTGAGAGAGAGCGCGTTTCACGGGCGCTTGCCGCGGGAACATTCGGCAGCGCCGGCGGCGGGCACGCAGCAACGATGACCAGAGAGGGCCCAGAGGCCGCAGAGGGAACACACAAATCGCCACATCGAGCCCTCACCCCCCAGGAGCCACCGAGAGGCCCTTAGGAAGGCCCACGAGGCTAAACACATGCTCCTCTAACGCCCCCGAGACCCTTCTGACGAGACCTCAAGAGGCATCCATTGGAGTTCTGGCCCAAAGCCAAAACACGGTGGTGGGAAGAGCCGAAGGCCACACCACTACCACCACAAACCACAACAGCAGCAGCAGCACCACCACCACAACCACCACAACCACCACAACCCACCACCACCACAACCATCACCATCACCACAAACCATTACACAACCGCCACCCAAAAATGCCACCACCACCAGCACAGCCACAACCCGCCACAACCCACCACCACCCCACACCATTACCAGCACCACCACCACCACCGCCACCACCACAACCATCACCACGACCCACCACCACCACCACCACCACCCCACAAACCACCACACCACCACCACCACCACAACCACGACCACTACCACCACCACCAACCACCACCCACCACCACCACCGGCACCGCTACCAGCAGCATCACCCACCAAAAACCACCACGCCACCACCACCACCGCCACCACCACAACCACCACCACCACCACCACAACCCACCACCACCACCAAACCACCACACAACCACAATCACCACAGCCACCACCACCACCACCACCACAACAACTCACCACCACCACCACCACCACAACAGCAACAACCCACCACCACCACCAGCACCACCCACCACAATCTACCACACCACCACGCCACCACCGCCACAACCACCACCACCACCAGCACCACAACCCACCACACCACCACCACCACCACAAACCACCACACCACAACCAATACCGCCACCACCACCACCACCACCAGCACCACCTCCACGAACCACCGCCACCACCACCAACACCACCACAAACCACCACACCACAACTGCCACCGCCACCACCGCAACCATCACCACCACCACAACACCCCACCACCACCACCACAAACCACCACACCACCACAAAACCACCACCACCAACACCAACCACCACCACAACCATTACCACCACAACAAACCACCACACCACCAAAACCACAACCACCACCACCACAACCCACCACCACCACAAACCACCACACCACAACCACCACCACCACGAACACCACCACCACCACCTACCACCACAACCACCACCGCCACAACAAACAGCTACCACAGCCACCACAACCACCACCACCACAACCCACCACCACCACCACAACCAGCACGACAAACCACCACACCACAACCGCCACCACCACCACCACCTTAACCCACCAACACCACAACTACCATCACCACCACCACCAGGAACCACCGCACCACCACCACCACCACAACCACCCACCACAACCACCACAACAACCACCACCACCACCAACCACCACACCACCCACCACCACCACCTCCGCCACCACCACCACCGCCGCAACCACCACCGCCACCACCTCAGAGAGGCCCCAAGAGACGCCCAGGAGGCGCCCAGGAGGCTTCGCAAATGCCCTTCAGAGGCCACCGAGAGCCCTCCGACAAGACCCCAAGAGGCATCCATTACGACTCTGACCCAAAACCAAGGCACGGTGGCGGAGCGTCGTCGTCGTCGTCGTCGTCGTCATCGTCGTCGCCTTCGTCCTCGTCAACGGTCCCCGCCGCCGCCGCCCGCCGCAGCAGGCGCCGGCGCCGGCCCAGGAAAGGAAGTCGTCGCCCCCGCCGCCGCCGCCAGCCGCCGCCGGCGCAGGCGCCGGCCCGAGGAAAGGGAGAGAGGAAAAGTAGGGGAGGGGTGGGAGGGGGGGGTGTTGAACCCCCCCCGCTTCTGTCACGGGAAGGGGGATGGGGGGGGTTCGAACCCCCTCCATCTAGGGGGGGGTTCCGGTTCCAAACACCCCCCCCTCCAAGCGACCACAGAACGCGCTCTTTCCCACCTGACTATGCCTACACACCATGTCACCAGACCGACACCATGTCACTATGCCTATACCAAAGACAAGCACGCAACACTTGGCAAAATACCCCCAGTCGAGCTACCAGGTGTTGACCCAGACGCCACCAAGCCAACGATGCCCCAACTTCCGGGAGGGCCTGCACGATTCATCCTCCATTTTTACAGCGGACATCGATGAGAAGGAGATCTACAAGAGAGGATGGATCACTTCCAGCCATTTCCCAGCACGCAAACGTACACATTATTCATCGATATTGGCAACCACGCCACAGCAGGAAACCGAACTAACTGGATCACGATCGACCTCTGGATCAATCATTTGCGCCAAGGGAAGGTGGCTGCAATCATGGCTTGACTACCGCGCGAGACATGGAGTGCGACAAGAAGGCGAGACCTGTCAGAAGTCCAACATCAACTTCGGCCACTACGAAGCTCGAGGAGGAGGAAAGGGGGAACACCCCCACCCCCCCCCCACACACACACACACACACACACACACACACACACACACACACACACACACACACACACACACGCACGCACGCACGCACGCACGCACGCACGCACACACGCACGCACACACACACACACACACACACACACACACACACACACACACACACACACACACACACACACACACACACACACTTGTTTTGCGTCGGCAGCTAGGCAGAGTGACTGCGCTGGCGGGAAGAGTATACGCAAGGCATACAGATGCAAATTAGGGCGCAATGCACGTAGGAAGGAGGAGGAGGAGGAGGAGGAGGAGGCCCAGCGCGGGCGGGAGGGAGGCGAAGCCGGGCCCGTTCAGAGCAGGGCCAGACCGCGGCGGGGAGGACGCCGGGGCGGCGGGGAAGCAGCGGCCGCGAGGCAACCGAAGGGGGCGGCAGCCAGGAGGCGGCCGAGCCAGGCGGCGGGGGTGGAAAGTCCAGCACGAGCTGGAGACGGGCAGCACAGCGGGGCGGCCGCGGTGCCGAGGTCAGAGCGACCTCCAGGCGACCGGCGGCCGCCGGGAGGACCACCTCACGAGGGGACACACAGACACACACACACACACACACACACACACACACGCACACACACACACACACATTCTTACACACTGTCACACACACATTTTTGATCTGCGGGGCGAGAGCGAAACCACTTCCGCGCACACACACACACACACACACACACACACACACACACACGCACACACACACACACACACACATTCTTACACACATTCACACACACACACACACATGTTTGATCTGCGGGGCGAGAGCGAACCACTTCCGCACACACACACACACACACACACACACACACACACACGCGCGCGCACGCACGCACGCACGCACGCACGCACGCACCCACGCACCCACACACCCACACACCCACCCACACACACACACACACACACACACACACACACACTTGTCGGTCGCACGCGGGCGGTCCAGACTTGCACGTTCGCGCAGCGGCCTGACGCCCGGCCGTGAGAGGGCGAAAAGGGACGAAGGCGGCCGCCCCGCGCGGGACAGTGGCGAGGGGCGGCGGGCAGCGTGTAGCGGCGGGGAGCAGCGGGCAGCGGCACCCAACGGGCACCAGCGAGAAGGGCCCCGCGGGCGGCGGCGAGCCGAGGGCGGCAGGCGGAAAAGCGGGGCAACGAGCGGAGGCGCCCGTGCAGCCCAAGGGGGGGAGGAAGCGAGCGTTGGCGAAGCACCGCCCACCAGAACCAAGCGGCCCCGCGAGAGGCGTTCGCAGATGAGGCCCGCGGTGCGCAGCGAGCTGGCTCACTACGGAAGCGCGGCGGGCAGGCGAGAAGAGAGGGCCCGGGCGGGCAGCAACGCGGAAGCGGGAGGTGCGGGCGGCCAGCGATTCTCGCAGCGAAGCCGTCGCATTGGATTCGCGGTCGTACACACACACACACACATGTCTATTTTTCGTCGGCGGCTAGCCAGAATGACTGCGCTGGTGATGAAACACACACACACACACACAAACACACACACACACACACACACACACACACACACACGTACGCACGCACGCACGCACGCACGCACGCACGCACGCACGCACGCACGCACGCACGCACGCACACACACACACACACACACACACACACACACACACACACACACAGCACGCACACGCACGCACACACACACACACACACACACACACACACACACACACACACACACACACACACACACACACACACACACACACACACACACACACACACACACACACACACACACGCATACGCCATTTTGGTTGGCGTCGCGGCCACGCGCGCAGGGGGGAAGGGGATAAGAGAACAGTACCGAACAGTGCGCAGTCCAGGCTGCAACGCAGTGGCGCAGTGACGGCCCGCAAAGGCGGATCGCGCGGTGACGCGGTAGTAGAGAGTACGAGGAACCTAAGAGCAGAGAGAGCGCGCGCGCTCTGTGGACGCTTGGAACGGGGGGGGGTCGAACCACGATGGGGGGGCCACCCCCTTGAATTGCAAGGAGGGGGTCGAAGCGGAAGGGTGGGTGGGGGTCGAACCAGGGGGGGGGTCCCTCCTTGAATTACAAATGGGTGGGGGGGGTCGAACCAGGGATGGGGGCGCCCTTCCCTCCCCAGTGGCAACCGACGACGGCTAACGCCGGCGCCGGTTCCGGCGCCGTCGGGCGGCGACGACGACGGCGACGACGGCGACGATGACGACGACGACGATCGAACTTCAGAAGGATTATATTAAAGCTGGATCGAGCCCTAAGATTATATCAGAGCTGAGTCGAACCCTTGTAGGATCCAATAAGACCTTGGTCTAACTAAAGTAGGAGTCAATTAGAGCTGGGCCGAGTCTTCTTAGGATAGTAGGGTTCTATCATAGCTGGATCGAGTCCGACTACGATGGTATTGAAGCTGGATCCAGCTACAGTGGGTTCCCACTAGAGCTGAATCGAACTATAGTCCAGGGTGGAAAAACCTCCCAGACCCCGACAACTGTCGTTTACTAAACGGCCTTCGGCGTCTACTAAACAGGCTTGCCCTGTTCGATTCCTTCCCTGGGTGCGTTTACTAAACGGCTTCGCTTGTCGGGGTGGTTGTTCTGAGTCGGGCCGAACGAAAGGGGGGGATTGGGAAAGGGGGGTTACGAAATCTGCTGCATGCAGCTGGTTTCGGCCCCTCCGAGGGGCCCATTCCTCGATACATGGGCGCCTCCCGGCGCCGGGAGGCGCCGGGAAAGTCAGCTACGTGAGCTGGTTCTCAACCCCCCCCTTTGCTATCCCCCCCTTTCGCCCGGCCCGATTCTGGGGGGAGAGTTTCTGCCTTTTATTCTCTTGCACAGCTGTGCTCTAGAGCTCGGACCTCTTTATTTTCGTGTTCGTCGTCGTCGTTCGTTCGTTCGTCGTTCGCCCCCCCCGCAGCCGCAAAAGTAAACTCCTGGAGGAAGGAGGCGAGAGCCTCCTGTCTCTAGCAGCTCCTTGGTGCAAGAGCCAGGGCACGCGTACCACTTGTTTGGTAGGACTCAAGCAGAGCTGGAGCGCGACTCGGCCCGTCGCCCCCCGGTGCCCACCCGAGGGCCGGCCGGCCCGCCGCCTCCTCCGCAGGCGCCGCCGACCGAGGGAAGCCCCGCCCCCGCGGCCGGCCGCGGTCCTCCGCCCTCTCAGGGGGGGCCAAAGGCGCCCCTGGCCTTAAGTCGGGCCTGTCCCTCTACAGGAGGAATATTCCAAGATAGTCCAAAATTACCCCAGTGCGACCCTACCTAGAAGTTGGAGGCCCTAGGAAAGCAGCATTAGTTGCTATGCTATGCCATGCTATGCCATGCTATGCTGCGCTATTCTATGCTATGATATGCTATGCTGTGCTGTGCTGTGCTATGCTATGCTGCGCTATGCTATGCTATGCTATGATATGCTATGCTGCGCTATGCTGTGCAGTGCTATGATATGATTGGTTATGGTATGCTATGCTATGCTAATGCAGCGCTGCGCTATGCCAAGCTAAGCTAAGCTAAGATAATATTAACCTGAGCTCAGATGAAGCTAAGCTAAGCTAAGTTAAGATGAAATAAGCTAAGCTAAGATGAGATAAGCAACGCTAAGCTAAGGGAACGTCACTGGGGGAACCGCGGGGCGGATGCCGGGGGAACCGCCCGGGCGAGGACCACTGCCCGGCCCTTTAAGTTTACCGAGTAAGAACCCTTCTAGGCAGAGCCTAGGTAGGGAAATAGTCTGGGGACTATTTTTGGATTATTTGTTGACTAGTTGGGAGTATGTTTTGACTGTTTTTTATTTTTCGCCCAAAGTCCCCCTGTAGGGGGACACGCCCGACCTAACCCTGGCCCGTCGGTCGCAAATCATGGGAGCCTGGTCTGCACTCCTAGTTCCGTCTTTAGCGTCGACTGGCGTCTGGGAGTCGATGAGATAGCGCCGGTTTGGCGTCGGCTAGCGACGACGTTGCGTCGATTAGCGCCGATTCGCACCGATGTTCGTCGATTCGCAAAAACTAACAAGATGGTACGGGAGGCTCCCACGAGTTGCCACCGAATGGCCCCAAGGGTGCCCCCAGCTTGTCGCTCCACGTGGGCGCACCTCCCAGACGTGATCGCGTCGCTGCCAGATCACGACGAGAGGTGCTTCGCCAGGTTCGGCCCCCATTGGCGCCCTCACTGGGCCCAGGGCAACCGTCAGAAACGCTTCGGGATGCGGGAGAGACAGGGGCTGGTCCCGGGAAGAGGGTCGGGGCTCCCGGGGGCCCCGCATTGAGAAAGTCAGGGCGGCGCATGCCTGGTCTGGGCCCCTGAGGGCTCGTGAGGGGTGTTCCGTGGAGGCCGCGGGGGCCTCCTCCGCAATCCTGCGGGCACTCTGGGCCAGGGGCACCTCTGGCAACACCCGGCTCCGCTCGCCCCCCACCCCACCCCCCCGAGCTCCCTACGTCGGCGGCGCGCCGCGGGGAGGAGTTCAGGAACTCCGGGCGTGCTCGGCGGTTTTCCCGCCTCGGGGTGCGTGCCTGCCGCGGGAAGTGCCAGGTGTTCGGGCGCGCTCGGCAGTTGTCCGGCCTCGGGAGGCGCTCTGGCGGCTGCGCCTCGCGGGAGGCGTGCGCTGGGTGCCCGCATCGCCCCGAGCGGCCACTGGAGAGCCGAGCTATGATGACCCTAGAAAACATCAGGAGGCCGAGAGGGGGCAGGCCTTCTCAGAAGGCGCCGGGGTTTCTCAGAAGACCCGTGGCCTTCTGGGAAGGCCTCCGTGGCTTCGGAGAAGGCTTCTGTAACCAGGCGCGCCGCCGACCGAAGGGCTTGACGGCTCCTCTCCAGGCGACTTGCGGGGATCGGGCCAGACGAATCGAGGCAAGCTCCTGGCAAGCCGAAGCAGCTCCAGGCAGCCTGGGATGGACCCGGTGATGCCCTGGAAGACCTGGAGAGGTCGTGGGAGCTCCAGCGCGAGTCGCGGGCCAGCAGGAGTCGTCAAGCCCCCCATCGGCGAGCCATGGCCATGGCGACCAGAGGCGCCTTGCCGCCGTCTGTGACGGCGGGGGCGGCGGGGGCGCCTCCGCGGTGGGAGGCCCGTCGGGCGTGCTCTTCGCAGGCTCCCCCGGCGTGGGGGGGATGGCCTTCCCGCCTCGGGATGCCCCCCCGCAGCTGTACGCCTCGCCGAGGGCGACCCCGGGGATGGCCGGATCGTCCCAGACGGCGGCTGGCGACCAGCGTCACGACCCGGGAGCCACATCCTCTCGCCCCTCGGGTGGTGCGTAGGAGCGCCACGCCCGCCGCTGGAGCACCGCGACTGCGCCTGCGCGTCAGCCAGTCAGGACGGTGAGCCCCTCTGCGACGGGAGCTTTTCCTGGGGCTCACGGCACGCTCCTCCTTTCGGTTCTCACATGAGAGACGCAAGAAAACGGGGTCGATTGCGCCGACATTCGCGCGTAAGCTGCCCGCGTAAGGTCCTGCGTAAGCCACCGCGTAAGGTCGGTATAACATCTCGCGTAAGACCTGTTAGTTTTCCTCGCTCATATGCCGCTTACGGCAGGTTCGCGCCGTGTCGACGCGGCGGCGACCCCGCCGCGGGGGCTCGAGGTTAAACGCCGCCGGTGGCCCAGAGTTGGCCAATATGGAACGATTTGGAGATCGAAGGGCCGCCGATCGTTCAAGGTTGAACGATCAACGCGGTGTCAGAAACCAGCGCCCAGGTCGTCACGACACGAACCTGCCGCACGTGGCCGCCCTCTCCCAGGGGGCGTTGTCACGAGAGAAGCTCGTTTGCGGCGCCGGGGGCCGCGGCCAAGGCTCGGGCCACGGGAAGGGAGGAGATCAACAGGCAAAGGCAGGGGATGTCGCGGCAGCCCCGTCTGGAAGAGCGGTCCGATGATGGAGCTCTTGCCTTGCCAGCGGGGTGCACTCGGGGTGCACAGAAGCAGTCGCACACGGGTCTGCTTCGTGGGCCGTGCCAGCAGGGTAAAAATGACGATGCCGAATTAAAGTCAGCTCTCGGCTCCACGCCCAGGCAGGGCGGCACTGCATACCACGCGTCCAGAACCGGCGGCGAGCGAGGTGAGGAAGCGAGAAGGAGAGGGCCTCCTCAGAAGGCGGCGGGACTTCTCAGAAGCCTTCGCGCCGTCTGTGAAGTTTTCCGTGTCTTCGGGGAAGGCTCAGCAAGCTCCTCGGAAGTCCGCGCGATTTCCGAGCCTTCTGAGAAAGCCCGCCCCTTCTCGCTTCCCCCTGGGCGCGCCACCTACAAAATTTGCCGTAGTTCTGCCTCGTGCTGCGTCCCCGACGTCGACGTCGATGCCAACGTCGTCGTCCCGGGGCGCGGCCGGCGTCCACCCCTCTCGCGCCGGCCCCGGTCGGGCCCATCCTCCCCATGGGCTCCCAGGGAGGGGCCGCCGCGGCAGCCCCGTCTGCAAGAGCGGCCAGGTGATGGAGCGCTTGCACTCCGAGTCCAAAATTTGCCATGCTTCTGCCCCGTGATTCGAAGCAGGGAAGAGGGCATAAACATCGACTTTGGGCGCTCTGCCCCCGGATTTCTTGCATCCGCGCTGCCCCCCCCCCCCCCAGCGGCGCCTCCGGCGCCGCCCCTGGCGCGCTCCGGGCGCGCCAGGGAGGGTCCAGCGCAGCTCCAGGAAATCCGCGCGGAGCGCCAAAAGCCTCTGTTTGCGCCGCCCCTTCTCTCCTCCTCTGGTGATGCGTCCCCCCGACGTCGAGGCCAGCGTCGGGCTGGGCGAAAGGGGGGGATAGCAAAGGGGGGGTTGAGAATCAGCTCACGTAGCTGACTTTCCCGTCGCTTCCCGGCGCCGGAGGCGGCCATGTCTCGAGGAATGGGCCCCTCGGTGGGGCCGAAACCGGCTGCATGCAGCAGATTTCGTAAGCCCCCCTTTCCCAACCCCCCCCCTTTCGTTCGGCCCGACTCAGAACAACCACCCCGACAAGCGAAGCCGTTTAGTAAACGCACCCAGGGAAGGAGTCGAACAGGGCAAGGCTGTTTAGCAGACGCCCAGGGCCGTGTAGTGAACGACAGTTGTCGGGGCCTGGGAGGCTTTTCCTCCCTGGACTCTGGTTCGATTCAGCTCTAGTGGGAATCCCCCCCTTTCGCTCGGCCCGACAGCGTCGTCTCGGGGCCCGAGCGGCCCCGGGGTCGGGCCCGTCCCTCCCTCGGGGCTTCCCTGGGAGGGCCACGGCGCGCGCCGGGCCCGGGCTGGCCCGTGGCCGGGCCGTGCGGAGCGGTCGCGTGGGCCCGTGTGCGGCCTGCGGCCTGCGGCCAGGGCGGCGAAGAGGGGAGTGATGACTAGGGGGGAGGAGGAGGAGGAGGAGGAGGAGGAGGAGGGAGGAGGAGGAGGAGGAGGAGGAGGAGGAGGAGGAGGAGGAGGAGAGGGGAGGAGGAGGAGGAGGAGGAGGAGGAGGAGGAGGAGGAGGAGGAGGAGGGGAGGAGGGGAGGAGGAGGAGGAGGAGGAGGAGGAGGAGGACAGGGGCTTCCTCCGTGGGGGTGGGGGGGGGGGGTGGATATCATGGCGGGGGCCATGGTATTGCCCAGATCTCATGGCGCCTCTCATCATTTCATGACGTCCCTGGCCCCCCCCTTGGCCGCGCACATGCCCCGGTCATGATTTGCACCCCCCCTCTTGGACACCACCCTCTTGGCCGCTCCCGAATAGGAGGGGGGAAAAAACACCCCCCCCCCCCCCCCCCCCCCAAAAAATGGATAATAATAATAATAATAATAGTGATAATAATAATAATAATAATCATAATCATAATCATAATAATAATAATAATGATGATAATGATAATAATAATAATATGTGTATAAAACGATACATATATATATACATATATATATATATATATAATAGACATATATATATATACACAATGAATCGTCGATTCCCCCAAAAACAGGGGCAGGGGGCACCATGGCAAGGGGGGGGAAGACGAAGAGGACCCAGAAAACAGAAAACGAGTGGCACGCGTGCCCTGGCTCTTGCACCAAGGAGCTGCGAGGGACAGGAGGCTCTCGCCTCCTTCCTCCAGGAGTTTCCTTGCGTGGCCGTGGGGGTGGGGAGGGAGGACGAACGACGAACAAACGAACAACAACGACGACAAAAATAAAAAAAAATCCGAGCTCTAGAACTCAACTGTGCAAGAGAAAGCGGAAAAATGTGAGGAGTCATGGGTTTTGTGTCTTTTTGTTTGCGTGTCCCTGGGTGGGGTCGAGAGTCGACGCCCTCCGAAGCTGCGGAGGCCTCACGGCCAGTGCCGCCGACGGTGCCGCCGACCCTGAAGGGGCACGGCGACGGCGACAGCGACGGCGACGGCGAAATACATTTCTTAATTCGGAGGAACTCACAATATCCAGCCAGGGTCGGTGAGGTTGATAGTTGACCTCTCCAATATGTGTCGCGCGTGTTTGTTCTTCCTCAGCATGACTGGCATTACGGCTTGTGGTTTTGCTTTTGGTTGGCATGCAAAGGCTATTGGTATGCCGACAGCTAGCTCAGGGAACCGTGCTGTTTGCAGCAGCGATTGGCAGCCTTTCCCAGTGTAGTTACGACATCCATCGCACACATCGTTGGCATTGGAGTTTACGCTGGCATCGTCATGGAAATGGCCGTTATTAATTGTATCAGGCATTCTAGAGTCCGTTATCAAACCCTCTTTGGGAGGTGATTCGGTCATGTCGCGGCCACCGCTAGAGATATCAGAATTGCAGCGTCTGCTGTGGTCATTGCTCCCCCCTCTTCCTCCTGCCTCGCCCCTCGTACAGACAACCTCTTGGACAAGGTCTACCTTCAGTTTCGAAAGTGGCTCGATGCTCCTCGTGTTGCTCGGACGTGTGCACGCTGTCCTCGGCGAGGACCATATTAAGGAGCATCTTGCATCGCTTTCAAACAAAAAACACGAAGCCGAAAAACGCACGGGGAATGGACGTCCGAGCGATGGCAAGGGGGGGCTGCGCTCCTCCGAGGCTCCCCGCCGCAAAAGAACCCAGAGATCCGATGTCGCGATTTTTTCCATACAGGGTCCCCGGAAGCCTCGACCCCTTCCCCAGGACCGTTTATGCGTCCTGAGTCGTTTTCTGACGGTCCCGAGGCCAGAAACTGCGAAGAGCCCCCGTCGTGATTTTTTCCATACGTTGGACCTCTTGGGGGGCAGCCGCCGCCGCTCCCGAGAACCCCCCCCCCCCTGGCACGCGAGGGGCGCGGCCACCGGACAGGGGCTCGGGGGGGTGGGCAGGTGGAGGCGCCCCCCCCGAAGCCGCTGCTCCTCTTCGTCACGAACGTGAAGTCCGCGAAGACCCGCGCGCGCGCGCGCCGAGGAGGCCCAGAAGGGTCAGGAGGAGGAAGGGGAGGAGGAGGAGGAGGAGGAGGAGGAGGAGGAGGAGGAGGAGGCGAAGGAGCAGGAGGAGGAGGAGGAGGAGAAAGGGGAGGAGGAGGAGGACGGTTAGGAGGAGAAAGGGGAGGAGGAGGAGGAGGAGGAGGAGGAGGAGGCGGAGGAGCAGGAGGAGGAGGAGGAGGAGGAGGAGGAGAAAGGGGAGGAGGAGGAGGAGGAGGAGGAGAAAAAGGAGGAGGAGGAGGAGGAGGAGGAGGAGGCCCCCTCGCCTTCTGCTGCCCCCATCGGACCTAAGGACGACATCCCAGAGATAATTCCGAGCACCCGGAAGAGTGTCGAAGCAGTGTCGAAACAGTGTCGGACGAGTGCCTCCCAGAGCCCAACACGTGAAAACATGTCAATTTCGGCACTTTCGTGGTGCTCGAAATTCTGTCTGGTGATCAAGGCAAAAGTAGGTTGGAAAATTATAACCCCCGCCGTCCTTCCCAACCCCCCGCTGCCCTCCCTCCCTCAGGGGGAACGAAGAGTATCCGAGAAATCCGCGCGGACATCCGAGTTTTTATGGTTATGCCAGTCTTCGTTCCCTTGCCCCTCTCCGACCCCACTCCCCTGGCGCGGCGCTGTGGCGAGGCAGCGGCCGCAGGGGGCCGGGAGCGGGAGAGCGGAGGCAGGCGCAGGGCCGCACCGCCAGGGCGTGCCGACGGGCGGCCGCAGCGCCGGGCCCGGTGAAGTGGAACGGGCTCCCGCCCCTCCTCCTTCTGATCCTCCTCCTCCTCCTCCTCCTCCTCCTCCTCCTCCTCCTCCTCCTCCTCCTCCTCCTCTTCCTCCTCCTCCTCCGTCTGGGCACGTTATGCCCCTCCGCCTCGCCCCGATCGGCGTCGTGGGTCCGGAGGTCCTCGGGTCACCTCGGGCGCCACGGCCGGGCGCGGCTCGCAGAAGAGGCCGGGGTGGAGCCGGGGAGGGGTGCTGCGGGGGCCGCTGTGCCCCGTGCCCCGCGTTATCCCCCTCCGCCTCGCCCCGAGCGGCGTCGTCGGTCCAGAGGTCCTCGGGGCACCTCTGGAGGCCCACGCGCGGAGGTGGGCAGACCTCCTGCCCTGACGCGTCGATGGAGGAATTGGCCGTTTTCGGTTCGCGAGAGGGCGTCGCGGCCGTCCTTTTTGCGGGCCCAGGTCCGTCGAATTCGGTCCCAGGCCGTTCTCAGTGAGGGGAGGTTTATGAAAGGGAGGCTTGTCCACCGCCGACACGGGCGCCACGGCCAGACGCGGCTCGCAGAACAGGCCGGGGTGGATCCTGGGAGGGGTGTTGCGGGGGCTGCTGTGCATCGGGGGACTGTCGGCGCTGAACCGCGGGCCCTGCCACCGTCCGCGAGCAGGACAGTGTGGGTGGAGATCTCGGTGAACGACACCATCGAGATGCTGAAGAGGTACGTGTCGCGAAAGATAGGACGCCAGCCCCCCATCCTGGTCCGTCCTCGCCGTCTGGCACAGTTCCCTCGAGTTCCCTCGGAGGGGTGGGACAGGGTCAGCGGGGGGGGGCGGGAGAAGCAGAAGGAAGCCCTGAGCAAGAGGGCGTGCCTACAGCTTGGAGCCGGCTGGAGGGCTGAGGTGGCCCAGCGTTGGGCAGAAAGGAGGGAGAAAGGGGGCCCCTCGTTGCCACGGCTAGACGCGGCTCGACAAACTAGTCAGCTTCGACCCCAGAGGGGGGTCCAGGGACCGATTTGGCGGACGGCGGGCGGGCCCCGGCGCGCCCCGAGAGTCTTGAGCCAGAGCCTGACCTTGCGCTCGCAGGCAGCCAGGTGGCGCTGCGGCACGAGCTGGCGAATCTCAACGCGCCGTCGCCGGGTGCCCTCTCACGGTGCGTGCTCGCGGAGAGGTCGTTGGCAGAGCTCTTCGAGGCTGTGCCCAGCCCTGGCTCACGGGCGCCGGCCACGCTACCGGCAGGAGGCGGAGCCGGAGGGAGGGCCAGTGCCGCGCTTGGTGCGCGCTTCGCTTTCGGGGCGCGGCGCCCGAGCGGCGCGCCGGCCGAGCGATTACTGGCGTCCGCAGGCTGCCGGCATCGTGGAAGCCTTTTGTTGCGGTCGGGCCGCGCGGCTGCCAGACGTACTCTGGGCCTCGCAGATGGGGTCGGAGTCGATGGGGTCGGAGGATCGCGCCGCATCGCGGATGCACCGCCGATGAGGCTCGCTTCACGTCGACGTCGCCGATGTATCGCTGACGTCGACGATGCATCGCTGGTGCATCACCGATGCATCGCTGATAAATCGCCGATGTATCGGCGATGCGGCGCGATTCTCCGACCCCAACTGTGCCGACCTCATCTAGGCCTCTACATACCGTACGTGTCCATCTCGGTTGGCAGGAACAGGCGCGCCATTGCTTGGGAGATCAGTCTCGGACACTCAGAAGATCCATCTCAAGCAGAGGTACTCGCCCGGCCTGCGTTGGCCACGATGAAGGCGCGATCTCCGTGCCACCGGGAAAGATAGCCCAAGCGCACCACCCCCCGACCGACGAGCCCGCCCTCCGCCGGAAGTTCGACGCTCTTGCTTCTTTTGGAAGCCAAAAGGGGTAGATTTAAGAATTGGCAGATGCCACGTTCGCGTCGTAAAATCAAGCGCGGTGGGCACCAGGATCCTCCGGAACGCCGGCGCTTTCTCGCTGGCTTCGTGGAAGTCATTCGCCCGTACACACTCATAGCAATGTTGCCTACTGTCCAGCAGGTTTACACCTCAATGACTTGTTCGTCTGTTGTTGCCGTGCAGCAACGCCACGCATCACCCGTTGACTCACGGGCTCTTCTGCGCAGATGGGTGGAAGTATCTCAGAGTCTCGGGGTCAGCTCCGCGAGCAACACGGCCAGGCGGGGTGATATCAATGTGCTCCGAGCACTACATTTCGCGGGAAGCCTTGTGTCCCAGGTAGCGCGGCCTTCTTCACCACTCTGACTGCATCGCACATCTGGAACCGCTTCAACGAACACCATGGCAAAATCTCTTCTGACTGCGTCCGACTGATACGCGTTTCGACTGGCCAGCAGCCCGCACTTGAAGAGGCCGAGCGAATCGCACGACGGCGCGCGAGCACTGCGCGACTTCAAGATCTCCGACGGGGACATCGAGCATGCCACCGGAGGACGCCCTGCGCCAGCCACATCACGAACGTCGACATGCGGCAGTTCGCAGGCACGCCCGCCAGCAGGAACGCGCGTGGTTAGTAGCATGGAAGCACGCGGCTGAATGCGACAGCACGCAGCCCAAATGTCGGCCGCAACCTCGACAGCCGTCGCCGAGGATCGACAGCAGTTGCTAGCCTTACGGGGGTTCCTACACTTGCCAGCATCAGATGTACTGCAGGAATGCCGGGTGGGCTGTATAATTGCCCCGTTGCTTCACCGCAGCCTCCCCACTCATGTGTCTCTGTCTGGACCACCCGCGTGAGCATTGATTGGACTCCCATGCTGAGTTGCACTTGTGGCTCTCGATTAGCTGTGCTTCGTCAGTTGCACGGTATAGCACATGTCGCACGAGATTCGGACTCCATCATGTATTGCACTGGCCACCACTTGCGCGCGCTGGTGTTGTAGGGCGATCGGCACGCATTCTTGGTCGGCCACAGTCGCTCCTCCTCTTCCTCTTCCTCCTCCCTCCTGCCGATTCCCCCCCGATCAGCCTCCGGGGGGAGGGGGCAGAGGTGGAGGAAGGGGGAGAGAGGAGGCAGGATCTGAGAGCCGTGCTGAAAGCTCGTTTGGGTTTGGTTGTTGACAGCTTTGCAGTACTTGGATGCTTTCGAGCCTCAGGACGCGCTGAGCCCTGTGCGCTCCGTCGAGAATTCCCCAAGGAGACCTGAGTGGCCCGTGGCGGGCATTCTCAGCCCGAGCTGCGGCCCGAGGGCCGTGGGGTTTACCAGCTTTGTTGGCGGCCGCGCGATGTATAAGACGCTTTGAGGAACAGGAAGGGGTGGACGACGACGACGACGACGACGACGACGACAAGGACGACGACGACAAAGTTCGCCCGACTGGGTCCGAGGAGTTCCAGTGCCCGAGATGGTGCTCATCTATCAGGGGGAGGCCCGCTCCGCTGCTCGCGCCCCCCCCCCCCCCATCCACTAACCCGCAGCTGCGGGGAGGGGGGAGGACGAGGGGGATCCATGATTGTGCGGGAGGTGCCCTCCTCCCAGATCCGTCCTCCTTACAGTCAACTCATGGGGACATGCGTGTCAGTGTCTCTGTCTCTCTCTCTCTCTCTCTCTTTCTCTCTCTCTCTCTCTCTCTCTCTCTCTCTCTCTCTCTGTATATATATATATATATGTATATATGTGCAGTGATACATGTGTATATGTATATATATACACACACACATGTACATGTATTGATCTCTCTCTCTCGCTCTATCGTTACTTATGTCTATCAATATCTCTCTCTCTCTCTTCCTCCCCCATCTCTCCCTCTCTCTGTGTATCCCTCTCCCTATGGATACAACTGTGTAACATATATGTATAAATTACCTTTACAGACGGACACACGCACGCACGCATAGGAGTATACATGTTAAACTTATATACCGACGCACACAAATACATAGACATGCGGCATACACACATATGTGAAAATGCAGACATCTGTGTATATATATATATATATATATATATATGTGTGTGCTCATTTTGTACATATTGGATGCACACTCGTGTAAGTGCAAATGTGTGTGGCCATATATGTATGAGTGTGTGAGTATACAGATCTATATATATATATACAAATAGTCATATTCTCATACGCACCTCTCCGAGGGAGTAGAGCTCAGAGGCGATTAATGCGCACGTCGTCCGCGATTTGTCTGGCCGTTTCGCTCGGGACATCCTCGAAATTCTGAAAATCGGTGGCACCCCTCACGCAGATCGTGACGTCAGGGTCCAAAAACACATGGGAATTTCAGCATGTTAACATAAAACCTTCAAACACACATGGTAATTTCAATAATGTTGACCCCGATTCTCAGAGAATGGCGGTTTCGCCTGAGACATCCTCCCAAAATCGAGCCCCAGACCCCTCCTCGGAGCCTCCTGGGGGCCTCCTGGAACCTCCTGGGGCCTCCTGGGGCTTTCTGGACCTTCTGGTACCCCAGACCCCGCCTCGGAGCCTCCTGGAGTTCTCCTGGGCCTGCTGAGGCCGCCTGGGGCCTCCTGGGGCCTCCTGGGGCTTCAGAACTACATGCACACACAGAGACACAAATCACGCCCAACACATCACACGCTAGACAAACATAACATACACACACACACAACACCGACAACACACAAAAAGCACGCACCACACAAAGCACACATCACACACACACACACACTCACAATCCTGGGGCCTCCTGGAGCCTCTTCTGGTATCCAAGTCGGGCCTCCTGAGGCTTCCTGGGGGGCCCTGGTACACACATCGCAAGGTGTGGCAACCCCACTTGCGCTCGAGTGCGACTTCGCTATTGCATGTCACTCCTGCTTCAAACGCCCCTTCAGCTTGTTGTATGAGCCTGGGCACACACGTGCCACTTGTATACTCACGTTGTTAAGACACGCCGCCGATCCCAGGACGATAAATAATGTCCGCAGGTGAGGCATGTTGCCTCTTAGGAATTGTTTGATGGGCCAATATGGGCATAGGTTGGGCATCTGGGGGTTCTCTTTGGAGCCTTTTGGGACTCTGATGGGCGCCTGCTGGCGGTCTCGGGGGTTTTCTTGGAGCGGATGGCTCGAAAAATCAGTTCGAAGTTCCCTTCGTGGGCCCCTCTGGGGCTCTGTTGGGCCTCTCGTGGACCGTCTTGGGCGCCTCTTAGGGCGTCTAAGGGCCTCGTGGGCCGCCCTGGCGCGATCTTGGGGGCCTCTTTGGCCGCTGTGTACGATGTTGAAACTAAAAGGGTGGATTTGGTCAGAATGAATGCGTTCCTCCAGAATTGGGGCGGTGCTGGCCTCGTGGGGCCATGTTGGGGGCCCTCTTGGAGCTCTCTGGGGGCGTCTTGGAGGCGTCTTGGGCAGCCCTGAGGCAATATTGGTTGTGGTTGAGGCCCCCTTGGCGTCTTGGAGCCCAGCTTGAGCAAGTTATGATGCAGTAGTTGGCACTTTGGAGGCCACGGAGTGTAGAAATGGAGGCTACACTATATATATATATATATACACACACACCTACCTGTATATCGACCTACCTACCCACATACATACATACATATGTGTGAGTGTCACTCAACCACTCGCGATGTATAGATATATGCCTGCACATGTACATGTACAAAGATATGCTCACGTAGATACACATGTGCCTGTACCATTGTACCCCCGTCGATATGTGTATGTGTACTTAGACCTGTCTCTCTATGTATGTGCACATGTATACAGAAATAAGTGTATATGTGTGTATGCAAGGATGTCAGCGCACAATGTTGATGAATATGCTTACCTGTCTGATCGTTAACCCACCCCCTCCCTTGAAGTATGTACTACTCTGTCTTTACTTGCGTGTTGAAATACCTATATATATACACACATGAATCCATCTATATATACCTATATCGCCGTAAAGCATGCGTGGATATACATCTGCACAAACATGTGCCTGCTATTGTTCATGCGCGTGCGTGTTGGTTCCGGGGCCTATACATCACATCTGTCTCCAGCTATCTTGTGCGATCGTCTCGCTCTCGCTAACTCCCTCTCTCTCTGTCTCTCTCTCTCTCTCTATCTTTCTCTCTCTCTCTCTCTCTCTATGTATATATAATATACATATAAATATATACAAATATAAATGCACACACGTATGTAAACGTACGCCTATGCGCCTACATGCAGATGCATCAACCTGTCATTTCTTGTATATACACGCACACACGCATAAGAACGTGAACGGCTTCGCCCGCTGAGGTCCCAGTCACCACCCCTCTGCTTGTTTGCATGTCCAGATTGGCCAGGTTGGTTATCGGATTGGCTGTTCGGTTGACGTGTTGTTTGCTTGACAGGCTGGCAACTCCACTGGTTGGTTGGCTGCCTGGATGGATACATGCAGGTTGATGGGCGCGTCTGCTAGCGGCCGGCTAGGAAATAGAAGTCTAAAGAACGCACGGAACCAGGAGCGTGTGTTATGAGGGAGCATGGCCGCGCGTTTGGAGCCATTGCTTTTTGCCAATAGTCGTGGCCATGGGAGCGCGGATCAATAGTTGTTCCCTACCCTCGTGCGTTGTTGGGTCCTCGTTATTTCTCCTCCCCTCGTCCTCCTCCTCCTACTCCTCCTCCTCCCCCCCCTCCTCCTCATCCCGCCTTCCCCCCGTTTGCATTTCCTCCGCCCTCCTCGTTCCTCCGTCCTCCTCCTCCTCCTCCTCCTGATCATCCTCCTCCCTCTTTCCTCTTCCCCGCCGCAATCCGCCTACGTTGTTCACGAGCTTGCCGCACGTGCGTTTGGGCATACCTCGCACGCGGATCGTGCCCCGCAGGGAACTCCGCCTGCGCCCCAGTGGGCGCCGACGCGGGGCGTGCCGGCACACACCCACGACGCGGATCGTGCCCCGCAGTAGGCTTCACTTAACGGCCGCTCCTCTCGCGCCGAACCATGCTGCGCGCCTCTGGAGGAGGGCACCGGCCCACTTCCACCCAGTGAGGGCAAGGGGACTGTGCGGGGAGGCGGGGAGGTAGCAAAGGGATGGGGAACGGGAGCGCATGAAGGACGGGAGAAGGGGAGGCGGCAAGGGCGAGGGGCGGCAAGGGGGAGGGAGGAGGGTGGTGGAGGAGGAAGTGGGAGCAGGAGGAGGAGGAGGAGGAGGAGGAGGAGGAGTGGGAGGAGGAGGAGGAGGAGGAGGAGGAGGAGGAGGAGGAGGAGGAGTGGCAGGAGGGCGAAGGGAAGAGGGAAGACACAGACGGAGGAGGGAGGAGGCGCGGGGAGGGGGTCATCGGGGAGGGGGGGGGGCGGCGAGGGCAGGGGCAGGTCCGATGCGCACCGGAGAGGCAGGCGAGGGCAGGGCCAGAGCGGGCCACGCGCTCCGCTCGGGCCAGGCGCTCAAGGACCACTCGAAGGTGAAGGAGTGCAAGCTGGAGGACGTCATGCACAAGGCGCCGTTTTCCTCCGCCTGCGAGCCTCGAGCTGCGCACGGTGCTGCTGCTGCTGCTGCTGCTGCTGCTGCTGCTGCTGCTGCTGCTGCTGCGGCTGCTGCTGCTCTTGCTGCTGCTGCTGCTGCTGGTGCTGCTCTTGCTGCTGCTCTTGCTGCTGCTCTTGCTGCTGCTCTTGCTGCTGCTCTTGCTGCTGCTCTTGCTGCTGCTGGCTGGCGCCCCGATGGTCCTCCTCGGGGCCTCCGGGCCCGCGCCAGGCGGAGGGGAAGAAAAGCGAGCAGGTGAAGGGATGAGCAGGGAACGACGAGGGAAAAGGAGGGAACGACCGAACGAGAAGGAGGGAACGACCGAACGAGAAGGAGGGAACGACCAAACGAAGAGGAGGGAACGGCCGAACGAGAAGGAGAGCACGACCGAAACGCGAAGGAGGGAACGGCCGAACGAGAAGGAGAGCACGACCGAAACGCGAAGGAGGGAGCGACCGAACGAGGAGGGGGGAACGACCAAACGAAGAGGAGGGAGCGGCCGAACGGCGAGACGGGTCCCAGAGACGCAGGGGGCAGGGGCAGACGGGGCAGGCGGCTGCCCCTTTGTGTGCGCAGGGGCGCTGCCCCGGCCTCTCGCTCTCCCGGGGTGCCTGGCCCAGAGTTCGGGGGCGGAAAGGAGGGGGGGGATGACTAGGGGGGGGGGGGATATCATGGCGGGGGCCATGATATTTCCCCAGATTTCATGGCGCCTCTTCTTATTTCATTACGTCCCTTGCCCCCCCGCTGGGCCGCGCACATGCCGCCGGTCATGATTTGTACCCCCCCCCTCTTGGATACCCCCCTCCTGGCCGCTCCAGAAGAGTGCGCCTGGCGCGGGGGGGGGGGGGAAGGGAGGCAGTCCGGCGAGCTCGAGTACTGCTGGTGATCCCAAAAGTCTGGGGACATTTTGGGAGGCGGGCGGGCGGGCACGCACGCCTGGTGGAAATCGCCCGCGCGTGGGGGCCGAAGCTCCCGAGGGGGAGGCAGGGGCCCAGGTCGCCCTCCTCCTCCTCCTCCTCCTCCTCCTCCTCCTCCGCCTCCTCCTCCTCCTCCTCCTCCTCCTCCTCCTCCTCCTCCTCCTCCTCATCCTCATCCCAGGATCAGGTCCGCCACTCTCCGAACGAGGAGGGAGGTGCCCCGGCGGTGCGGCGGCAGCGGGGGGCCTGGAGCAGGCAGGCGAGCGCCTCCACAGTCTCCTCATCTTGGCCTTCGGGGGCCTCCCTCCTCTTCACGGCTGAGCGAGACTTGGAGAACGAGTGAGGATGGTGCCCGAGGGGCGTCTGAGGGCTCTCGATGGGCAGCTAATCTTCCTCTGCTTGTTGCTTCCCTTCCCATCCATCCACCATGCCCTCCGCCGCATCCTCAGCCTCACCCCTTTCCCTGCCAGTCCCCCCCTCTCCCCGTCCTTGTGGGCGGCTTTGCCTTGTCCTCGCTCTGGGTCCAGAAGCACGCCCGCTCCGTGCTCCTCGTCTTCCCGCTCCGGCTGCAGACCGCAAACCTGCCATGCCGTCGGGGTCCGTGCAGCCGCGCTCCTTCCAGCTGTGGTGCTGGCTCTGTGCGCGTGGATCCAGATGAGGCCATGGGCGTTGCTCGGAGGAGGATCTGCCGCGGTCGATCGCCCAGGGGGTTCGCCCATGCGCGCGTCGCTCCCGCCCAGGTTCCCCCGAAAGGGGGAGCTTAGGCGGGGGCATGTCCCGTCATTCTGGCCATCGCCACCTTGAGCCGAGGGAAGCCAACTCCTCAGACCCTTGTGGAGGCCAAGCGGCCCCCTGTCGGCCATCGAGCACCCTGCCCGGCCCTCCTCTGGTCGCCGAAAGGCCGCCGGGCATCGGTCGATGGCGCAAGAGCAGCAGAAGGGGCGGTAGCTCGATGCATCGACACCTCGAGTGGTCGAGCTCCCCTCTCTTTCCTTCGCCTACGTGTAAAGAAGTGGGGCAGGCACCGGCAAGAGCTCGGGCCGCCCGTATACGATCGGAGTGGGCACGAAGAGTACGGGCGCGAAGACCGACAGCCGTCATTGCCCATTTGTTGGGCAGGACTCGCTGTCGGCGTCGCCGCGGTTGCCGCCCACCTGATACCAGAGGAAGTCGCCCGCCCAGCAGCGGCCGCTGCCAGCTTGAGACAGTAGTTGTGCAGGGCATCGGTGCCCTTTCGTCCGCACCCACTTCGGGCGCGCCAGCCCAGATATCCGACGTCGTGATTGTTGTTCGCGTCGTGGCTCTGCAGGGGTCTGGCCCCTTGCAGGGGACGCGTTGTTCCCCTGAGCCGCTCTCGGGGCCCTGGGGCCCAGCAAGGGCTCCCGAGGCCAAAGACGTTCGGCCACACGTAAGAGTGTCCCTTCGCCAGAGTGGCCTGTGGTGCGGGCCCACTGGGGCCCCCCGATCTCCGAACGCGAGACGGCAGTAGCGTCTTGCGCGCTTGGGTTGGGTCCCCACGCGGCCCCCCAAAGCCGCGCACCAACGGTCACTCTTTCCCTGGGCCGCTCTTGCGTGTAGCCGAAATGTCAGGAGGATCAGAAGGAGCATGAGGAGCAGGAGGAGAAGGAGGAGCAGGAGGAGGAGCAGCAGGAGGAGGAGGAACAGAAGCAGGAGGAAGAGCAGGAGGAGGAGGAGGAGGAGCGGAAGGAGCAGGAGGAGCAGGAGGAGGAGGAACAGAAGGAGGAGCAGGAGGAGCAGGAGAAGCAGGAGGAGGAGCAGGAGGAGGAGGAGCAGGAGAAGCAGGAGCAGGAGGAGCAGCAGGAGGGCGAGGGCGAGGAGGAGGGGCTTGCTCACGACGCGAGGGGATCAGGGTCTGCCCCGCCCCTCTCCGCACCCGGGGGGGGGGGGGGGGAAGGCCACTCTCCAGAGGGCGGGCGCCCCGCAGCTGGCGCGGTGGCGCGCACAGGGGGAGGAGGAGGAGGAGGAGGAGGAGGAGGAGGAGGAGGAGGAGGAGGTGGCCTTCTGAGAGGGCGGGGGCTTCTCAGAAGGGTCGGGGGCCTGCCCAGAAGCGTCCAGGTTCTTCTCAGAAGACTTTTCGGAGACCCAGCAGACACCCTCGCGTGGTGAAAAAGTCATGACGGGAGGTTTTCGCAATGTTCGGCTTCGGGGGGCCCTCACTGGGCCCCGGGGCTGTCGAAAAACGATTGAAGGAGGAGGAGGAGGAGGAAGAGGAAAAGGAGGAGGAGGAGGAGCAGGAGCAGGAGGAGCAGGAGGAGGAGGAGGAGCAGGACGAGCAGGAGGAGGAGCAGGAGGAGGACCCGCCCCGTTTGGACAGCAGGCGAGAGCAGGGGCCGAAAGTCGAGCGCCGCAGGCCTCCCGCGGATTGTTTTTGCTGTTCCATCCCCTGCGCTTCTGCTCGATCCCCGCCCGACCGCGCGTTTCTGGGGGGACCCTGTACCAGGCTTAAGTCGGGCATGTCCCTCTACAGGAGGAATACTCAAGAGTAGTATTTGGGGTTGTTTCCCAAAAAAATGTGGGGACGATGTTTCGATTGTTTTTTATCGTTTCTGTCCGTCCCAATCCGCCTTTAGGAGGACATGCCCGACCTAATACCAGGCCCCCCGGCCATCAAAGATGGATCCGGTACGAGAAGCTGCCCTCGGGGAAGGGGGGGGACTTTCGAGGGCCCACGGCTGGAAAAAGCAAGCAAGCAGATCGCCGGACCCAGATAGCCAAGGAAGCGGTTCCTCCTACGGGCCCTGGGGCCATCAAAGACGGAGCCGGATCTGGGACATCTCGGGCCACCAGTCGAGGAGGAGTCCGCTCGGCGGATGCGGGGGGGCACGTCCGGGGAGGAGGCGGGCGGGTCCCGGAGCCTGGAGAGCGGGCCGCAGGGGGGGGGGGGGGGGGCTCACTGGGCCCCCGAGGGGCTGTCAGGAGGCGTGGCTCGGGGCGGGAAGTTGGCCCCGGCCTCGGGCGAGGCCCCGAGGTCCCCGACCCGGCTCCGCGGGCCTGCGGGGGGCCAAAAGAGAGGAGCGCGCTGCGGCGGTCTTGGCCGGGGCGCTGCCCCATCGCACCGGTCGGGCTCCACAGGAGAGGGACGCCTCGCCGGAGGGGCCTCTTCGCGCGGGCCCATGGGGATCCCTCGATCGCCGAGCGCGAAGCGGCAGCAGCGTCCTGCGCGCTTCTGTTTGGTTCCCCCGCGGTCCCCAAGAAGCCGCGCAACAAAGGGTCACTCTCATCCAGGGTCGCTCGCACGTGCAGTCGGATCCGGGGGTCGAGGGAACGAGGGGTGTTTTTTCGAGGGGCAGGTTTCGCCATCCTCGGGCTCTGGGGTTGGCAGCTTCGGCCTCGGCCTCTGGGGTCAGGTGGCCAGAGCATGGAGGTGCCACAGCCCCGCCAGGGCCTCCCTGTAATTATTGGGAGCCTTCCAGCCGAGCCAGCGTCGCCTGGCTAGGAACGGTTATTCGACCTGCCCGCTGGTGTCCGCCCGTCCGGTTGCTTGGAGCCCGCACGAGGCGGAACTCTCGCGCGGCGGAGCTCGCGCGCGACAGAACCCGCACGCGGCGGAATTTTGAGCGCTTGAAGCCTCGGGCTTCGAAGAAGAAGCACACCGGCTGAATGGTGAGACGGCCGTCTATAGTACGCTGACGGCCGCACTGGTGTGAACCGTCAAAAATATCAACGCCAATGGCAACGACAACCAGGAGGAGGAGGGGAAGAGGGAGCGAGAGGAAGAGACGAAGCGAAAGGACAGTCGACTGCATCAGGGATAAAACATGTGACAGGGTGTAACCCCCAGAGAGGTCCAGGGAAACCGGTTTTGAAAAAGGGCTTGTGCGAATGTAGGTGATCTATGTTGACAATGTTATGCACGGTCAAGTCGGCAGCCCAGCGTGAGGCTGCCTGTACCGCACGAGCCGCTCAGGGATGACGTTGCCATATCCAACAGGTGCAGAACAAGGGCCGCTGCAGTAAGAGGCAGCGGCAGTGCACCTGAAAGCACGTGCAGGGACGGGCTTGGCGCGATGCGCTGGCTCACCTGCTCCCAAATCGCCCCCCCGAGCCACATATGATACCTCGGCTGCGCAAGCGGCAGTTATGGCACGTCGCGTCAGGCTGAGAAGAACGAAGAGATCACCAAGGACGAGCGCACCATACACCTGATCGACCTGAAGGTACGCGCCCGTTGCCCCGCTGTTTGCGATGCCTACCTCGTCCGAACACCTCCGTCCTCTTATCTCCTTGTCCCCCCTTCCTCCGTTCCTCCATTCTGCTTGATTCACGGCTGTTGGCATGAAGAAAGAGTCTATGCACACAACCTTTCTCTGTGGTGTCAACCAGTGACCAGCATCTTTCGGCCGCACCCAAGACGTCCAAGGGTGTGGCCTGCTGCCAGCCAACTCTGGCCATTTGACCACTGCACAGCCTCCATTATTTGTTTGGTGGCCGCCTGACCCTTCGAGATGGGTATTGGTACCCTTGAATCCTATAGCGGGCTTGGTAATTCCTTTCCTCTGCTTCTACTTCGGCGATGCGCTACTGCTTCCTGCTCCGTGTCCAAGCCCTGCCACTCCCCCTTCACAGAATCGACCTCCTCCTCCTCCTCCTCCTCCTCCTTCTCCTCCTCCTCGCACCCGCGTCATTTTGGCCTGCTCCCCCAAGAGGGGCTTGAGACTATGGCGGCGCTGTTCGAGGCCTGTGAACGGATCGGCCTGCTGCCGCGCCAGCTTTGCTTCATCGTCATGCCGATGCTGGCAAAGCCCGATCAGGGCCACCGATTGATCATCCTCTACTCGGGGATGTACCGCGTATGGCAGCGCCTGCGCCGTCGCGACCTGGCCGTGCTCCACCAGCATCTGCGACGCCCTTACTGGGGCGCCGTCGCAGGCCGCAGTGCACTGGACCTCTCATGGCTTCAGGCAGCGCGCAGTGAGGCAGAGGTCAGCCAGAGCCGCTTCAGCCTGCTCCTCCTGATGGACTATAGCAAGTTCTACGAGGGCATCCCGCTCGAGGTCCTGCGTGATCGGCTCCAGGCCTGTGGCATGCCCATGCCGATCCTAAAGCTGATGTTCAACACGTGGCAATCGCCGCTTACCATTCGTTTGGGATTGAATCATAGTGGCATCGTCCTGTTCGCCACCTGTGGTTTGCCAGCAGGATGCGCCTTCGCAGATGTTGCAGTCCGCGCGTTCACGATCACTGAGTAGTCGATCTCATGAGCTACACCGACGACACTGGAGTACACGTCAGCGGTCGAGATCGCGATGTCGTGGCAGGCGTTGTTGTCCAAGCTGGAGTTCAGTTCCAAGCATTGTTTCTCGTCGGTTACAGACCGCCCTCAATCATAAGGTCGCCGTTGTTACCCGTGATACTGGCCTGGGTTCGGACGTGGCCACTAAGATCGGACTGGCTAAAGAGAAGTCTAAACCAGCGGTGGCTTACATCGGTATTGACTTCAACTGTCGCCGTCGACGCGCACATGCACTCACAGCTGGAAAGAGGAAGTCTCGCCTACGAAATTTGTTCACAGCGCTTGGCCAAGGCGGCGAAGCTCAAGTCGATGAGAAAAGCTGATGAGAGGGTTGGGCGAGTACACACCACTGGCATCAAGATGGCGGCCCATTACGGCGTGGAGGCCAACTGCGTCGACGACCAGGAGTTGCTTGCCATCCATCGCCAGGCCATGACCCACCTGGCGCCGACGACGCGGGGCGCTAGCCCACGCGCCAAGCTAGCCTTGCATGGCGAGCCTGCGGTGCGAGAGGCCAGGGCATCAGCGCTCCAGTGGTCTAAGATGACATGGCAGGCTGTCGCTTTCCCGTATGAGGCCCTCGTGAGCCTTGTCGAATTAGAGCGGATGTGGGACCGCGGTTGTTCCCAGGACTTGTCGGACTTGTCTTGGGCCCATACCCGCGGACCGATTTCCAGGATACAGTTTTGCCTTGTTCGCGCAAGGTGGAAGCCAGCCTCAGCCTTCGCGTGGGTCGACCAGGATGGGACAACTATCCAGCTCACGCAGCGCTCCCCCGCAATCCAGGATGCCCATGATAAGGCTCTGGGGGAGAGGTGGGGTTGCGCTGAAGGGGTCAGGGCTAACCTGGACGTAGTGAGAGCCTGCCTCAGGGCCAAGGCCGAATACAAAAGTTTCAAGGATATATATATATATATATATATATATACATACATTCATACACACACAAATACGTATATAGTATAATATAGTGCGAGCTGCAGCGTGCGATTGTATCTGGACTGAGCAGCTGGCCCACGATAACGGGTACCACATTTCCAGAGCGGGCCGCTGCGAGTGCGGCGAGCCCGACATTGTACATCACCGTCTGTTTTGTTGTGAACCCCCAGCTGTTGCCCAGGCTCGTCGCGAGGCGGAAGTCCCGACCACCTTCTTGGACGAAGCTAAGGGGATCACAACCAGCCTGCTCCATACCAAAGGTGCTTGCTGTCTCGGTGCTCCCAGGGGGCATCCTTCCTGTCGTCGGGGCCCCCGTGGCCGAGGTCCTGGGCGGTCTTGGTGGGGTTTTGCCGATTTGGAGCCCGAGCAGGTGGTCCCGTTTGTAGGTCAGAGTAACAGCCTGCACATAGCGGTGGACGGCAGCAGCACAATGCCGATATTGCATTGTTTTCAGCGTGCTGTGTATGCGGTCGTACTGTTCGACCCCCGGCCCGAGGCCACCCTCTCCGTGGCGCGTGGCACAGTGCCTGGAGATGCTCCGCAGCCCCCCGCGATGGCAGAAAATGTCTCGATTGTTGTCGCCTGTCATATTGCAGATCGCGGTACGAGCATGCATGCCGATTGTAAAGCAGCCATAGCCCAGGCCCTTCTCCCAGAGCATGAGCAGCTTCGTGCAAGCAAGGTGCGTGCAGGGGTCTCGGTTTTCGCCCGTTCGCTCAGCGGGCATGGCCATGCCATGTAAACCCATCATGTTACAGCGCATCGGAGCGAGGGCGTGATAGATAGCTTGCCGCCTGGGGAGCGGGGCCCTGCCAAAGGTAATCGCGCTGCGGACCTGCATGCAAAAGAAATGGCATGAGCGGGAGAGTGGACCATTGGGTGTTCAGTGTAAGCATTGTCTGGTGGTTGCCCATGATGGTACTCCCCAAGAGGCTCTGGGTTGCGCTGGGGCCCCCGAGTTCATTCGTCAGGTCGTCCGCCGTTCCCTGGGGCACCTTATTGTTGGTGTGGCTTCGCACGAGATCCACTCCAGAGCCCTCTGCGTCCAAGAAGAGCCGTGTTCAGTTTTTGCGTGTTCGGTGCGGCTGTTGGGCCCACAGGTGCTTCCGTAACTTAGACAAGGAGTGTCAACGTCCCTCAAGGAAGGGCCGCGAAGCACTTAGCAAGTATTCGCAAGGTCTGGGCCCCAGCAACCGAATCCGTCAGTTGATTGATAGAGCTGCAGCGGTCACTGCAATGCCTGTGGTCCCCAAGCCGCGTTGTAAGACTCTGGCTCAGACGTCTGTTCCTTCGGCCCTGTCGAGGGCCCCCACCGTCCTTGTGCATGAGCGACGGTTGGCTGCTCTCGCCGAGCGAGTGCGGGACAACGAGGCTATGAAGGCCGAGGAATTGTTTTTGGGCGGTGGCACCCCGTCGCGGGCCCTGGTCAGAGTGCGGGGAGCTTTGTCCTCCAGGGTAACAAATCCCTCTCTGAAGGGTGCCATTTCCCTCCCTTTCGCATTAGTATTGCGAGACTCTTCCCGTGGGGGTTGTCCTAACCTAACCTCCTCCTCCTTTTCCTCCTCCTCCTCCTCCTCCTCCTCCTCCTCCTCCTCTTCCTCATCCTCCTCCTCCTCCTCCTCCTCTTCCTCCTCCTCCTCATCCTCTTCCTCTTTCTTATCCTCCTCCCCCTTCCTCCATCGCTCCTCCTCCTCCTTCCTTACTCGCTCCCTTATCACTATTCCTTCGCTCCCTTGCGTCCTTCCTCGTTCATCCTCCTCCTCCAACCCTCCCTCCATCAATCCATCCGTCGCTCTTCTTTCTCTCCTCGCCATCCACCGCTCAAACTGCTCCAGCTCATCATCGTTATCGTCATCGTCATCGTCATCATCGTCGTCGCCACCATTGGCATCAGAAGCAGCAGCAATCAGCATCATCATCGTCAGCGTCGCCATCCCCCTTCCATTCCTTCGCCGCTTTCTGCTCACTCCCAGGCTAACCCTCATCCTGGCCACCATCCGCAAATGTGTCGTGTTTCTGCGGTGTGTGCCATCTGTTGGGAGGACACAGCTGTGAGCTTATGGAAGGCTCGCAGGCAGCACAGCATCTCCTGGTAATGTCGCATCGTCGATGCCGCACGGCGCGGACAAGACGGGACGGGCCTGCGGGCGATGGCCCCCTTGTTCAGGCACACGCCCTTCGGCCTTCGCAGAAGCCCAACCCATGGCAGGGCGCACTCCACGGAGCAGGGCTCCCGCATGTTACGGCATGTTCATGCCGGCGCAGTCAGACACGTCGGCTCGCGGGCCCCCCCAAACGTCTAGCGCCCCAACTATTTCGACGCGTCGGCCCCTGGAGGCCTGGACAGCTCCCCCCGGGCCGTCGGTCGCTGTTTGGCGCTCCCGCGGCCTCGAAACGGCCTCCCAAACCGAACACTGCAAAAAAGGCAGATTGGTTCGCGGATATGTGCGTTCCCCGCGCGGCCTGGCACCGAGTTGGCCCCGAAGGCACGGCGCGGCACCCAGCAAACCGGGAAGCGTTTTCCAAATTGAGACCGTTCTTGGCACATGTTGAATTGTTCGTCTTCCCTCTCCACGACATCAGCTTTACTACCCACATCCTCGCCACCACCTTCCTCTTCATCAGCATCATGTAGATCATCAGGTTCATCGCCACTACCGTCGTCCTCTCGTTATCCCGTAATCGCAATTGCCTCTTTCGTCAGCATCAAGCACGACGTGCCCGGACGGGCGGACGGGCGGGGCGTTCACTTCCATCGTTGTGGATTTCATCGGGAGCCATTGTAAAGCCAAAAATCAAGTGAACAACTCTTAAAGTAAATTTGATTTCCGGGGGACTCTATGTGTGAAAGGATGTAAGGAGCGAACAAGAAAGAAGGATAACGAGAAGGAGAAGACGAACAAATTGCGCGGACGGGCGGGGCGCTACCTACTTATATTATTATCGAACGATGATTATAATTATTGGTAGTAGTATTGCTACCAG